AAGACCCTCGTCCAAATCCAGTCATTATGACTCTTTTCGTTGATCATGTTTGTGAACCACAGGAAAATGTTCCTTTGCCTCAACCAATTGAAAACAATTTGGGAGTAAGATATGTTATGGTGACATAATTTTATTTTTCCTACGTATTTGTCCTCATTAACCAATGTCCTGCTCAGTGTCTACACTTACTGATTTTGGTCCAAATCCAGTTATTAAAACCCTTTTCATTGATCATGTTTGTGAATGGCAGGACTGTTTGTCTTTGTCTCTATCGACTCGGAACAGTTTGAAAGTAAGATATGTTCTGGTAAACTGAAATTCTTTTCGTATTGGTCCTCATTAACCAATGTTTCCTGCTCATCAGCCATACTAGCTGATTTTCTTTTTCTATTTTTAAACAAGATTTTGTTTAGTCTTTCTGGTTTCTTCTAAGATTGCTCTAAACTTCTGTATTTAGCCTTCACAAGCAACATCAAATCCACTTCCAACTTCTTATGCTGAGCCAAAAATTTATCTGTAACACAAGATGCACTCTTCGGGAGCAGTATCTCTCAATGCTGCAAAGAGCCCAGGCATTTTTTTTAGTTCTTCAAGTGATGTTGTTGGGTACTGGTACCCTCTAATTTATGTTTAAAATGTGTCGTCATTTTACACATTGCATAGTTGTTATTATTAACTTTTGATTAAATTCTTGTGGCTACAGCTATAGAGGTTATTGACTATCCATGCTTGTCCAAAAAAATGTTCTTTCTGATTTTGGATGAGGTAATCTGAATCAATTTTATGTACAGAATTACATAATTATAGAACTTTGTGTATCTTGACCTTGGTTTTCTTTCAATTGTTTAGGTAAAATCAACTGTCACTGATCCTGGCCAAAGTCACCTGACCGCGGTTGCCATACCTAATGTTTTGCCCACTACTTTTGCCCTTACACTAAATGAGGGCTCATCTCCAATGAGCATGGATTTTCATCCCACTTGGCAGACTCTTCTTCTATGTTAAGTAATGAGAAACTATGTTCTTTTTTTTCTTCTTTTTTTCTCCCATCATTTATAAATTTCCTGTCTTTTTAGGATGATCGTGTGCGGTAACTAGTTTTGATAGTTCACTAATGAATCCTGCTAATGTGATTCTTCAGTTGGAACCTGGGGGTGTTGGAGACATAGGACTATGGGATGTTAGTTCAGGGAAAAAGTTGCTTTCAAGAAATTTTAGAGTCTGGAATCTTGATGCAGGCCCGATGGCCTTAAAGGTGCATTTGCTTCTGGATTATGTACTACTCTTTCAACCTTACTGATATGATCCGAAATTTGAACCAATGCCAATTATTTCAAGAAGCTCTGGTCAAAGATTCATATGTATCTGCTAATCGTATCCAACAGAGTCCTGATGGTTCTGTATTTGGTGAGAATGTTCTCATACTTAAAATGGTATGGAGTTGCTGATTTTCAGTTCTTGTAGTTCACATTCACTGCCGTCGTGTTCTTCAATGAACAGGGGTTGCATATGCAAAGCGCATTGTGCAATTATATTCTTATAATGGAGGCAACAACAATTGGAAGTAAGTTATGAAAAAGAACACAAATTCTCAAGGAAACTGCAACTTTTGAGTCTGTGACTATAAACCCAACCCATCATTTTTCTTACGTAGATTGATGCTCACTTAGGAAGTGTAAATGATTTTGGCATTCTTTTCCCCTCACGACCAACTTTTGGTCATAACTTGTGCTGATGACAAGACCGTCAAGGTTGGTTTCATTAATGTATGTTTAAGGTTTGGGATATATTTTGTAGCCAAAGACTGTTTACTTTTGAAGGTCATGAAGCTCCTGTCTATTCTGTCTGTCCTCATACCAAAGAAAATGTCCATGTAAGGGCCACTTTGGGTATTGATGTTGTGGTTCTGGTGATGTTTTTGTTTTGAATCATCTGATTTACTTTCCGGTTCCTGCAATATATTATCCAACACTTTTTTACATGCTTCATGCCTAAGTTGTTTTTTCAACATGAGTGGATGGCAAGATCAAAATATGGTTATATGATAGCTTTGAAGGCAGTGCAGTACCAAACTGGCACATAGTGCTGATGTTCAAAGGTTCAACTTATATGGCCTGCGATTCCCATCTTTTATTTCCTGATTGATATCTTTGGGTGAATATAGTAATGTTAGTTTTGATTGAGGTCATGTAGGCTTTTTTTCATGTGGGATCAGCCAAGGAGGGAAACAATCAGAGCCAAGAGCGACCAAGTGTAAAAACATGGATTTGTTTTTTTGTTTTTTATATTAAGAGAGATTACATGAGCCTCAACTAAACCAACATCTTCCATTGCAAAAATGCGATGAAGTGAACATTGAACTCCTCTCAAAGACTTTTTTTATATTTATTTTGTTCGAACTACACAAATATAAGAAATCCAGGCCTAGATTTCTTCTTTATGTCTTCTTTATGAATTTCTGACTCCTCAATCTTCTGCTTTCAAATACTTCATTCCTAGTCCTAGATCGAGGACACAATACAAAGTAACTGTGTTGTCTACTGGACTGCTGATCCTGGGCCTAACCCTGCTATTATATGTGAGGAAGAGCCAGCAACAAATATATGGTAAGCTATTTGATTTTCTACTCTTCTGCCCCTCCATCTTCTAAGATAGGTAGGTTCAGTTCTATAGAAATTTTTGTTGTTGCCTCTCTGGTTTCTAAGCTAAGGTTCCATGCTACATTATTTACTTCACTACGTACTTCACAGGAGAACTGAAGCCCGGCCAAAAGGAAGATCTGGAATTACCATTATTTGACTTGGCCGCTGTTGTTTGTGCAACCAAAAACTTTTCAAACAACAATAAACTTGGAGATGGTGGTTTCGGATCAGTCTTTAAGGTAAAATCAAATACAGTTCTTCCTACAGTTAGCTTGACAGTTTCCACATGTCATTTGGGTCAGGACTAAGGTGGTGTAATTTTTATTTTTTTCTGTTCTTCGTGGGTTGGTTTTGTGTTCCTATGCAAGAGGAGGAGGAGACAAATCTTTCTTTTTTTTTTCTATCAGCAAACAAGAGGGCATGATCAAATATCAAAATCTATAACAGAAATAAAATATCCAAAGAAAGAAAAGCAGTCCAACCAAGAAGAACCATCAATGGATGAAAATTGAATGCATAAAGATTTATTAAGTTTCAAGCAAGAAGAACCAAACCAATCAATCTATTGCTTAACCAAACCAGAAATAAATAGTTAGAATTTGAGATTGGGGCCTAAAAACCGAACCTTGTTATTGGCAAGACCACCGAAACTCCATGATAGGAAACTTTGTATTTAGGGTTCCCATGACTTGTGCTTGCTTCGGCTTCCAAATCTCAATATCAAGCTCAAAATTTCAGGTAAACTTTATCAATTTCGGGTTGCAGACTTTCAGTCAATCGCAGTGTTCAAAAAATGGGGCTAGGCGGACGGCTAGGCGGCTAGGCGGGCGCTAGGCGGACGGCTAGGCGGCTAGGCGGGCGCTAGGCGGCTAGGTGGGCGCTAGGCGGCTAGGCGGGCGCTAGGGGGCTAGGCGGGTGCTAGGCGGCTAGGGGGGCCTCCTAGGCGGGTTGGGTCATTTTCCGGTGTCGAACAAGGAGGACGAAAGCAGCCGAAACTTGACTGCGTCTGCAAGCTCCGTCCTATGCGAGTGCAAGCTTCGTGTTTGTTGAACTGTATTCAAATAGTATAGCCGTTCGGCTATACCATTAAAATATTCGAATATATTAATATTTAAAGAGTATAGCCGAACGGCTGTACTTTTAAAATATCCAAATGTATTTAGAAAGTAAAGCCACGCCAGGCTAGAGTTATTTCTTCAATTATTTTATTTATACATGTGATATTAGGGAATGAGAATTTAAATTCTTTCTAATACCTCTCATTCTAATGATTTCCAACTATTAGCTCATTGGACAAGAATAAAAAATGAATTTTATTTATAACAAATAATATAGGTTAAACCCATAAATACAACAACAACAACAAAATCCGTCAACATTTTGTGGATCAAAGGATGTTGAATTTCATAGTATAAAATTGCTTGTATAGCAATTTACTTTCTAGAAGAAAAATTGGATACAAAACAGTCTAACAAGACAACGAAGAGAAGTTTGCAACTCTGTTTTGAAGTTTATTGAAGGTATCAGAGGTCATATGACATTGATATATGAACTATTCAAAATGAGAATTCAAACAACATGTGTTAGATGAGAAGTAGCATCTCATTCTTAAATATAACATGTTACTTCATTTGTCTACTAGTTGTGCCTATTGTTAATAAGCTGGTGCAACCAACATTCTTTCACCAAGAAACTTTTCTTGAACCTCAAAGAAATTTAGCTAGGAAAACCTTTGGTGGTCAGGGAAAGTTAAGATAGAAACAGAGGCAGATGCAAAGCTGAAGAACAATGGCGAGCACATGTGATATTACAGAAAATGTAGCGAAGGAATTTGGAATGGCCATTTTCCAAATTAAGCACACATCTTATAATGAAATCAAGATAGGAACTTATGACAAGCCCTCATTAGAGTACAATGTCCAAAAACACAATATGAACACCACACCACTCCACACTCAACACACATAATTGCTCTTCAGTGTGGTAAATATAAAAAAAAAGATGACATATCGCTTAGTACAATCAAAAAGTTCTTCATTCCTCATCGCCCAAATCATTGAACGCATCGCACAAATCATTGAGCATTTAATCCCACGTCTCCTCCACATGCACATGAAATGAGTATCCATCAACAAGAAGAACAAAATTGTCCATACCACGAAGAAATTCAAGAAATTCAGAACCCTCTCGCACATAAATTTACTAATATGAGACGCAAGCTTTGATATTTCATCGTCATTCTCATTGAAACCAAAACAATCTTTGACGTCCAACATCACGAAATCTTTGCATTCGCGTAGCAACGTGACAAGACCATCCCGATTAACTTTTGCACCCTTCAAATTTAAATACTTGATATTAGGCACCAACTTCACAATTGACAATATGACTCACGCCCATGAACAGAGCCTTTGGACAAATCTAAACCATAAAAATTCTTGCAATGTTTTTGTATAATTTCAAGTATTTTGGCCAAATTTAAGAATGAACCCAATGATAAACACCTCCAAATTTTCCACTTGCCAATCAACTCTAGGTTCGTGTGTTTGCTGTCCAATACATTTACTGGTAAACTCGAAGTCACAAGGCCAGGACACCTGCACACATTCCACAACAACAAAAATGCTACATTTACATTTACAAGGAAAATTAAACTGGGTATACTTGAGGGTATGATCAAATGTCAAAATCTATAACAGAAATGAAATATCCAAAGAATGAAAAGCAGCCCAACCAAGAAGAACCATCAATGGATGAATATTGAATGCATACAGATTTATCAAGTTTCAAGCAAGAAGAACCAAACCAATCAATCTATTGCTTAACAAACCAGAAATAAATAGTCAAAATTTGAGATTGGGGCCTAAAAACCGAACCTTGTTATTGGCAAGACCATAGGAACTCCATGATAGGATAGCTTCATCATTTCCTTCCACCGAAGACAGACACCAAATCAGCAAATTTTTATTTTTTTTCTTGTGGGCCATGCCGTCAATCCAAAGAGAGAAGATAATAAGGCGGAGTTGGCAGAGGGAGGAATTGTTGTAGTTGTCATTGGTGTGGTGAGGAGGTGAACATGTCGTTTGGGAGAGAGCCTAGAGAGAAGAGAATAAGGCGAGAAACAGGGAGAGGAATGGAATTAGATGAATTAAGAGTCTCATGATCTCTTCTTCTATGGACCTGACTTGTGCTTGTATCAGCTTCCCAATCTCAATCTCAGGCTCAAATTTGCTGCTAAACTTTTCAATTTCAGGTTTCAGACTTTTAGCCGATCGTAGTGTTTAAAAAATTGGTCTAGGCTGCTGGCTAGGTGGCTAGGCGGGCGCTAGGCGGCTGGCGGGCATCCTAGGCGGGTTGGGTCTTTTTGGGTGCCGAACCTAGATGACGAAGCAGCCAAAACCGAAGAAAACAAAATTGATGCTTGAGTTGATAGAGAAGCGAAATGGCTATGACTTAGACTACAACCTCCATCCTCTGCGAGTGCAAGCTTTGTGTTCGTTTCGAATATATTTAAAGAGTATAGCTGATTGGTTATACTTTTAAAATATTCGAATGTATTGTATTTCAAGCTTATAGCCGAACGGCTATACTTTTAAAATATTCTACGAGTATAGCCAGTCGGCTATGCTCTTTAAATATACAATTTTGTCATATCATTTTAGGGTTTGGAGATAAAATACCACTTTAGTCCATTGGGCTAGAGTTATTTCTTCAATTCTTTTATTTGTATAAGAGATATTGGGAAATGAGAATTTAAATACTTTCCAATACCTTCCATTTTAATGATTTCTAGCTATTAGCCCATTGGGCAAGAATAAAAAAAATGTATTTTATTTATAACAAATAACACGGGCTAAACCCATAAATGCAACAACAACAAAATAGGGATTCGCCAACGTTTTGTGGATCAAAGACTATTAAATTTCATATTATAAAATTGCTTGTATAGGAATTTACTTTCTAAAATGTCCATCGTAATAACGAACTAAACCCAATTACTGCCTTTTTCTCATTGCACTTGACAACCCTGCTCTTCTGCTATGAGATATATTAGTCCACGCTGTATTCTATGCAGATGAAAAATTTGGATACAAAACAGTCTAACGAGACAACGAAGAGAAGTTTGCAGCTCTATTTTGAAATAAATCGAAGGTAATAGAGGTCAATATATACGAAGTATTCAAAATGAGAATTCAAACAACATGTGCTAGATGAGAAGTAGATCTCATTCTTACATATACCATACCCACGTGCACCTGAAATTCCCAATGTGAAGAGGGGAGGTAAGTGCAATACCTCCCTTGTAGCTCGCAAGCGTAGCAGATCCAACCTTTCATGAGGACGTCGGTTTGATAAAGAAGCAAGCTGCATCCAATGATACATTAGTACCGGCAATCACAGCCCACAATATACTCAATTTTAATAAAGAGAAATATAAAGTTACCCATAAGCTGAAGCGCTCAAGATCTTGTGGTGAAGGCATCATCGCTTCCCCGCTGAGAAGTCTCTCAAGTTTTCTTCGATCTATAAAGAGATACTATCATACATCAAAAGGGCACCTAGGGATACTTAACACAAGAATAGGGGAAGAAACCATTCTTATGTACACTGGCATTACATGTAGGATAATCTCCCAAGTCTCAAGTACCTCTGTGTTAGATTTGATGGGGGAGATGGTGTCTCAATGGAGAAACTTTTTTCTAAGTGCCCTGTACTTGAAGATTTGACTATACTCTGGAATTTTAGAGTTGATTCAAAATCTCTGCCCCTGAATTGAAGACAAGCATTACAAATACTAGAAATAATTGTACGTTCCAACTCTTCATCAATTCCCCAAAGCTTGAAAACCTGATTGTCGATGTCTTCGGTTGGTGCTCATATGCCATTTTATGTTTTATAAAATTTGCAGCCAAAATTTGTCCCTATAGGCTTCCAGTAGGTGAAAGTCTAGCTTGTGATTACCTTGTGCCTCCGTTTACTATAGGAATTTCCAATGTTACGTATCTTTCTCTTCTAGCTTCTAGTTTGGATGGTTTATTTTTGCTTGCTATCTTTAAAATTTTGAAACAGTTGGAGCTAGGACTCATTCATTCTAGTTACTGGACATTGCTCATAGAATATCTGAACCGATCACCTAATCTAGAATCTTTTATCCTAGACCTTGATAGTATATGTTGAACACAGAAAACAACCCTTTCCGTCCACCAGCATTTGTGCCTACTTGTTTGTCTTCACACATTAGGATAATCTCCATGAAGGGGTTCCAAGGAAAACGTCATGAGATGGATGCAACTAAGTATTTGTTGAAGTTCAATTTGGTTATGAATAAAATGACTGTTTCTACTGCTACTGTTGTTGGTGTTGTCACTCCTTCCCTCCCGAAATAGGAGATATACAAGGAAATTTCAATGTTTAAATGTGGTTCATAGAGTTGCCATGTTCAAGTTCTATGAGATGCAATGAAGGTCTCAGTTTCACATCAGTTCAAGGATTTCTCCGAGTTTGTTCTATACTTTCTGAGTTCGAAAATGTCAATTTCATTTGTTTCTTTCACTCATCTGTTAGATTAAAGTGGACATTATATTAGTAGTGATTTAATCCAACTTATTTTGGAACTTTGAATTTTCTGTACAACTCCATGATCTTTTTTGGGTCATTGAATTGTTGGTTTTCTAGCTTTCGTGGAACTCCAACAATTTGACAGCTTTTACATGTCGATATTTCATTTTTCTATTTGGGGTTTCAGACTTTCAGTCAATTGCAGTGATAAAAAAAATTGGCCTAGGCAGGCGCTAGGCTGCTAGATGGGCTCTAGGCTGCTAGGGGCATTAGGCAGCTAGGCAGGTTTGGTCTCTTTTCAGTGCCAAGCCCGGAGTACGAAGTCTCTGTCTTTACATACATTGAAAGAGCCCAATCCAATCAAATCAACCCAGCAGCCTAAAACGAAGAAAAAAAAATATCGAAGCTTGAGTTGAGAGAGTGGCTCAAGACCGAGTCTTTGAAGCTTGGAAACGGATGTGACTTTTACTGCAAGCTTCGTGTTCGTTTCTTTGTCCCTAAACCATGAATATTTTTAAAGAGTATAGCCGCTTGGGTATACGTTTTTAATTTTTAAAATTTTAAAGTGTATAACAGCAATACCTTTAAAATGTTCAAATATATTAAAAGAGTATAGCCGATACTCTTTAAATATACAATTTTGTCATATGATTTTAGGGTCTAGGGCTAAGATACCACTGTAGCCCATTGGGCTAGAGTTGTTCATTCAATTACTTTATTATACAAGTGATATTAGGGAATGAGAATTTAAATTCTTTTCGATACCTCACATTCTAATGATTTCTAGCTATTAGCCCATTGGGCAAGAATAAAAAATGAATTTTATTTATAACAAATAATAGAGGTTAAACCCATAAATACCAACAACAACAAAAAAAGGATCTGCCAACATTTTGTGGATAAAAGAATGTTGAATTTCATAGTATAAAATTGCATGTATAGTAATTTACTTTCTAAATTGTATCTATCATAATTATGAAAAAAAAACCCAATTATAGCCTTTTTCTTATTGCACTTGACAACCCTGCTCTTCTGCTACGAGATATATCAGTCCGTGCTGCTATACTTTTAAAAAATTCAAATGTGTTTAAAGGGTATAGCCTACTGTTAAAATATTGGATAATTTTGCTTCTAGCAATTCTGAAAGTACCTTGGAAACATCATTCACAGTATGAGAGCATACAATTGCCAGGTTTTCCATTCAGATACTCTGTCAGAGCATCTCTAGGAGAGTCTCCAAATTTTACCCAAATTATAGTTAAAATTGCTAACCACTTAAAAGATGGTTCCTTCAGCAATGCTCTTTATTTTAGCTAACCTCAAATATTTATTATTTTAAAATCATTAAAAAAAATTAAAAGAAAGAACTCAAAATGAAAAGTAGCCCACTACCGAACCTTTCTTTTTCTTTTCTCTCTCTCTTTCCCTCTCTCTCTCTCTTGCACACCTTCTCTCTCTCTCTCTCTCTCTCTCTCTCTCTCTCTCTCTCTCTCTCTCTCTCTCTCTCTCTCTCTCTCTCTTGCGCAGCTTTCAGATTTGGTGAGCCTTGAATTTCTCTCTCCTTCTTGCTAGATGTAGTGAGCCAACATGGCGAGATAGGTAGCGAAGCTGTTGGAGCGTTGTTTTTCCTTCTTTTTCGCTAAAATACCAAAATTTCCTTGAGGCCATTGACAAGTGAGAACATCATTTTTTTTATGCTTCTTATAATCTATACATAAACAATCTTATAAAAAAAGAACTATGTTCTGCATGTTTTTCCCATATTTGCAGTTTTTTTCTAGTGACCTTAGGTATAAAAGGAATAAAACCAAAAAGGAAAATAAAGAAATTCAACAAAAGGAATTCTCTTCTGCATTTACCATATTAATCAAATTGGTTAGGCTACAAATGGGCTCGATACATTAATTCAAAACCACACAAGCCTCATTTAGTTTCGTATTTGGCAAATTGTCCCTCAATAGATAACAAAAGTAAGAATAATTTGACAAATCGAACACCAAAGGGGCAAAAGTGACTCAATTAAAACAACATCGACCTTAGTGGTAAAAGTTATAAACCACAAGAACTAAAAGTGACTTTTTCCCTTTCAAAAAGGGTTTTTGAAGTTTAGGGTTTGGGAAGAATTAGAGATGGGGCCTATTGGGTGTTTTGAAATAGTTAAATTTTACATTTAAATTAATTGTTATTAACTAAATATTAAATATTTGGGTTATTCGCAGCAATGGTCCCTCAACTATACCCGTACTTGCATTTGGGTCACTGAACTCAATTATTAGTTGCAGAGGTCACTCAACTATGTGTTTCGTTGCACCAGTAGTCATTCCGTCAAGTCCGTTAGTTTTTTCCGTTTAAAATGATGACGTGGCAAGCATCTGTGAGAATCTCATAGATTCGTGAGGGGCAAATCTGACTTTTCAGTTAGCCTTCTTCAACACCTGACTTTTGCAATTCGAGAACAACCAATACGGGCTCTACCCTTTTTTGCAATTCAACACCATGAGGCTTGATAACATGTTTGAGCTTATCTTCCTGGTTCAATATCAAGAGCTAGGGTGTACGGAATTCGATTGGAGATGATGGGGAGGCCTTGGGACCAAGACTCGAGCTCTTGATGAGATAAAGCTTCAGATTTTTTGAGCGTGGACTTCTTGGGCACTCGCTTTTTCTCTTTGACGGTGGCTATGCCGGTTGGGATTTGGGGGAGAGCGGTGGAGATTACAGTGAGAGTTACATAAAGTTTGAGGAAATCGAAATTGGGTTTCTGGGTTTTATCGTTTTCATCATTATCATCCGTGGTTGAGAGATGGGAGGAAATGGAGGATGGAGCGAGAGGTTTTGGTGGGTTTTTATTGAGGGTTTGGGGTTTGGGGATAGAGAAGAAGATGAGCAAGAGCCCATAAGGCATTGGCAGGCCATGGAGTTTTGGTTTGATGTGAAAATATTGGGAGGTTGGACATTGTAGACTTGGAAAGACAAATTTGCCCATGAAATTGACACCACGTTAGCTAGACTTGACTGAAGGATTACTGGTGTAACAAAACACATAGTTGAGTGACCTCTGCAACTAATAATTGAGTTCAGTAACCCAAATGCAAATACAGGTATAGTTAAGGGACCATTGCTGCGAAAAACCCTAAATATTTTTTTAATTAGACAAACTAATGGTGAGGCATTGGATTGAATTTATTAACTATGGCAAGCAGCAAAAAAATCAGAAAAAATTGAAATGACAGTGACCAAATTTGATAGCGAGCCAAAAAGTGAGTTTAGCACAACCAAAACAATGTCATGTATCCTAACTTCATTATGATGACTCTTTAACTAGCATTGCAATAGTGACAAAAACATGTTGTGGCAACACATCTAATATGACAAAGAATATAAATTCCACTCTTTTTCCAAATATTAATGATCAGAACGCCCAGAAGTACTTTCATGTAGACATCTCACCAACCCATAAACACTTTGGTAGGGATTGTACAGTGAAATTGGATTATTGATCACTGAGACAACTATTCTCTGGTTGTACTTCCGTTAGGTAGGCTTCTCATTTCCTTGTGTAAAAAGCTATATGCCAAACCACAATGCCAAAATCTTTTTAAAAATCTATTCTCCTTCCTCTTCCTCAGAAGCACCTGTTTTAAAATAAAATAAAATAATTTAATGAGTGAAAAATTTGGACAATTTTTTATTGTGCTTTGTTAAACACCTCCTACAATTCCAACTAAGTAAGTATTGCTCTAACGATCCAGCTGTGATAAGAAATCTATATGCATAGATGCATCAAAATTCTGTCGTAATAGGTATCTTTGCTGCAAGTAATGTCAACTCCTTTTCAGCAAGCCATGCCAACAACACAGCATGTGTAGCAGCAAGACATATCGAGCCTTAATTTGGAAAAGCATTATCTGATTGGAAAATGGCGCAAGCATTATCTAATGTGTGCAGTAACATAATTTAGTTGCACTCGAGAGAACGGGGTAGGCCAAAGGCAAACATTCCCAAAAAAAAAAAAAAAAAAAAAAAAAATAAACTCAAATCTGATATTAATTGTTGAAATTTCTCTCTCTTCAATATATGCTTTGGAGATGTCAAAACTAACAAATTAATATCTATAAAGTATAAACTAATGCAACTATAAGGGTCATTTTCTTTTATTTTTTTTATTTAATAAATAGTATCGCCTTGCGGCTATACTCCTATTATATTAATTTTTCTCTAATATAATATACTTAAAGAGTATAGTTATAAATTTTAAAAGAGTATAGCCACGCGGCTATACTATTTTGGACACGTGACAAAGTGGCCCGCTGGGCGCCAGGGGTGGTCTTTTTTTAATTATAAATAGTAACACCGTGTGGCTATACTCAACGTGTTTTTTTTAAATAAAAAGAGTATAGTTGGGCAGCTATACCACGGTTTTTATTATTTAAAAACAGTATAGCCACAACTGGTGAAATGGGCGCTAGCGCAAGGCGGGTCCCATTTAAAAAAAAAATAGTATAGCCGTGATGCTATACTCGGATTTTTTATAGTGAAAATATTATCACCCCGCGGCTATACTCTTTACATAAAGCAACCCAGTTTGCTGTGGGGCTCTCCAATGGCGAGCTCCATGTCCTTGAGCTTGAGCCTCTGGAAGATGAAGATAAATGGGGTATGTTTGCCGTTGGTTTGACTTGACACCAAGTTGGAGAGCTGTGAGCCTGTGGAATCCGAGGGCATCGTCCTTAACAAGTGATCTCTAGATAATATATGCCTCAACATTATAATAACTCATCTCTAGATAATGCATGCTGTGTAGTTTAGGCATTTGCAGTAACAACTTTTATAAATCTAAAATCTAAAATCTAAATCCTCAACAAAATAAATTCAGAAGTTTCTTTGAAAATTTGCAGCCATTATTTCTTTTAAGTTTCAACTATTTTTTCTTGTGCACTTGGTCTCTCTCTCTCTATGATGATCTTGACCACATTTCAACAGTCATTTTTGAGCTAAAACTCACCAATCTCTCTTTCATAATTTCATTCTGGCCAAGCCAAAAATTATTGAAGACAGAAGAAAAGAGTGGAGACGATTGATCAGGATCACTAGTTATAAGTTTAGGCTCGAGTGGGCTTGAATCTCTAAGAGAAATTAAAGATAACCCAATACATGATCTGATCTGTAACTAATAAAAAATCAGAGCGCATCCATTATTAATGTCAATCTACAAGCAAGGGAACCCTATGAGGGTTCATGAAATGCATATTTATGTCTTGTTGTTTTGCTGGCGTTTTTGCGCCTTTTAATGAAGTATTTTCAGACCCAAAAAAAAACATTACCGTCAATTTGATGAGAATTAAATTGCTGGATGTCTCAAAGGAGAATACATCTTTCAAGCATCTACCTTTGTTGTCGCAAATGCATAACTTACGCTGCTGTCCCTCCCTCACGGTTTTGCACTGACTTGATTGCTCATATCAGAGAAAATTGGTCTTTATGCTCGTTGAACAGTTCTTCAGCATCTGAATGCATTGAAATATGATTGAAAGGGATGAAATAATGATCAAAACCAATATTCTAGATGCAGTTAACTGAAGAACTGGTGTCGAAGTTATGAGCAATGAAAAAAAAAAATTGCAGTCTAGGTCAACTAAGTTTAATTCTTCAAAAAATTTCTTCTCCCTCTCATTTTTCCTGTCAACCTGATTTGATGTCTTCAATATGTCAATATGAAATATAAAAAACAAGGATAGGTTCCTTTCATTATATTTTCTGCTCCTTTTGATAACTGCATCCCCCGCATGTTTGTTAGCAAATGCCTGAAATTTGTCTCCACAATCCAGACACAGTAGTGTAATGCTTTTCAGGCCTTTACCCTGTTTCATCCTAGGGTGTCATATTCTCACATGATCACTTATAATATATAGAAATTTCTTTGCCAAATTTAAGGAAAAATATTTGAACTTCTTCCCTTTCAGACACTTGAGGCAATACTTAAGGAACTTACATGCAGAAAGACGCTAATTGGGTGTCGCCCACAAATGAATGGTCTTATCAAACTCCGACAGATACTGTTTGAATGCATCTGGATTTCCAGTTTCTATTAAATCCATTCCCATCCTGTCCAAAGCCTCAACTCGACTACTTGTTCAGAGCTATCGACAATTTGAGAAATTTCAAACGAATGCACTCTTAAGTCACAGCTTCAAGAATGCACAGTAAAAAAATAGTGAATTGTTGGAAAGAGCTAACCGTTATGTTGTTGATAAACGTGAGTCGCTAAAACTCCAGCTAGATGTATTTGCAGAGGTGGCAGACCCGCCAGGAAAAAAGAAATTCAAAAAAAAAAACGTCATTCAAGTTTTCCAAAAATGGGCCGCCTAGGCGGGGCTAGGCGGGTCCTTTTTATTTTATTTTATAAATAGTATAGCCGAGCGGCTATACATGTGAAATAATATATTTAAGTATGGCCGTTCGGCTATACTCTTGAAATAATATATTTAAGTACTGCCGCACGGCTATACGCCTTAAATAATATATCTAAACAATGATTTTGGACACGTGGTGAAGCGGGCGCTAGCTCTTAATTCATTGATGTAGAGAACTGGAAAATAATCAATTAAAAATTGATACGTAAGTACTTACAAATGCAGTTGCCTTCCCCTTGCTGTTTCGATAGCCTCTGGATCTACAAAATGTAATCAAACCAGTGAACACACTACCCAAAGTTTAGTCCAAAGCAAGCTTAATCATTTTCACAAGGAAACTCACACTAAATAGCAAACAAGACTGCAAAATAGAGTTATAAATTGACAAACTGGAAAGTTAGGACCTAAGAAGCTGCCACCGATACCAACAGCAATGACATCCTTCAGGGCTTTTCCTGTGGCACCAACCTACCAGAATTGCCAATTACTTCACAATTCAGGCAATATTGTCCCAAAATGGATGCTAAAAAAAATTGTAGTGATTACCCAAAATCCACTTCGAAAACTCTCAGAAATGGATCTTGCATCCCTTGGACCACATTTTTCCCATCACTCTGTATAACTGCATCCCTTGTGAGCATGAAGAGCTACATGAAGCACTGATGTATTTTCTGTGCTGTTTATCTGAAGGCACCACCCAGAAAAAGAAAAACAGAATGCAAAAGAATCACATGATAATGGCTTCAGAAATAAGCTGTGGTCTCATCTTTACCATAAATCCTATAAAGCTATCAAATATAAGTTATTGTGATTTCAGGGCTTTTCCTGTGGCACCAACCGATACAATCTCCACTCAGACGAGGTAGTTTGTTTGTTCTTGTGAAAAAACAAACAAATCATGCTCGATGTTGTGATGAAGCAAACCTGAAAAATTTGTCATTGCCTTCATTTATATATTTTGCAGGTTACAGGGAAGCTTGAAGGTCACGCTAAAAGAGCCACTAGCCTTGCCTTCTCGAACATTCTGAATGTACTAGTTTCTTCTGGTGCTGATGCATATTGGAAACTACAATTACTTTCAGACATGGCTTCTACTCTAATGTGATTAACGACGTCATTTTGGCCCTGCATATGTTTGTGTGGGGTGCTGCTGGGTGGGAAAAACAGAGAAGCAAATTGAAAGGGATGAAATAATGATCAAAACCAATATTCTAGATGCAGTTAACTGAAGAGCTGGAGTCAAACTTATGAGCAATGAAAAAGAACCATTTTGCAGTCTAGGTAAACTAAGTTTAATTCTTCAAAAAAAGACCCTCACATTTTCCCTCTCAACCTGATTTGATGTCTCCAATATGTCAATATGAAATAGAAATAACAATCACTATGCGACGAAGATCTATTTCCAGATCAGAAAGCAAAATTTCCTTGAGGCCATTAACAAGTGAGAACATTTTTTTGAAGCTTCTTATACTCTATACATAAACAATCTTGAAAAAAAATACCATGTTCTGCATGTTTTTGGTTCATTCTTGATCTCAAAAGTTTTTGCCGAAGGTAACGAGGAGTTATTCAAAGAAATGCATCAAATGTGTATGGGTTCAATCCAACAGGGATCATAAGGCACTCTCTATGTGTGGAGATATAATGTCTATGATGAAGGAAAATGCTAGATCATTATTCATTATCATATAAATAAGGTAAAACAAGCACCATATTGTATCTCTTCAATATGATTGATATATTTGCCAATGATCCTGGTACAACAACTTGTATAAGAATTGAAGATATATTATTACATAACATTCTATAGTACTATTAGCTACTATATTTTCACATCAGAAAAATATTAAAATAAAAATTCAAAAAATCACTGCTCTTATCATCGACCTCGAGGGTCTTGCCATCTGTTGGTACTAAGCAATGAATCCCATCCTTTATCTACAATTAAGAATCATACAAGACATCAACTATACATGCAAAACCATATAGAAGGGATGAAATTTTTGACTTCAGCTCAACACATGACCTCTATCAAATACAAGGGCATTATCAATTCTAACAAAAACAAGGACATTCTTCATGCTGTTCTCTGAGTTGTAAGTGACATGTTGCAGGACATTCATTGGAGAAGTGCTGCAGAGAAGGATTCGATCAACTGATATGTCGTATGGCAGATTCGAATCATGATCCACTGGGGAAACAACAGGCGACTGCTGGAAATGATTACTGTTTAGATGATCATTTCCTTCATTCTCATTGCCTGGAAAGGGCTGTGGTTGTATTTCAGTGCTCATGTCATTTATATTAACAGGGAAGCTTGTATTGCAGCCAGCACCAAGCAGGGTGTCTTGCTCCAGTGAAATGTTGCATTGTGCTGTGATATAATCAATCAATTGTTGGTCTTCAGAGACCTGTGAATTTGACAGTTACCAAAAAAAAAAAAACTATTTGTGAGAGATGTGACCAAAATAAAATTTCAAATCTAACATAAGAAATTAAAGCAAGGTTTGAGTGAAGCATCATAAAATATCATACATCTTTGGAGACAAACAGCTCAATCAACCCTCTGCACTTGGAACCAAAACTCTGGTCCCATCTTTCCTGCAAAATGTAAGTAGAAATATACTGTTGCATTTAATTATATGTTCAGAAAAGGACTTTCTTTTGGAATTAGCTAGGGAAAATGGGAACTTGTGAGCTCACTGCCATGGCACTCGAATCTCTGTTGGAAGATGAGTTCAACCAAATGGGCTGGTTTGATATTAATGGATGTGCATAAATACTGCTCATGAGCAGCCATGGTTAAGGATATAATAAAACTAATTAATTTCTTTTGTCAAGATATGTACGGTAATTGGTAATTATGATTGAATGAGTAAACAAAAATGCTAAAATGAAAAGGATATACAGGTACCCAGAGTCTAAGGACAGAGTAGAAGGAAGCTGAGCAAGAAGATCACAGGAATTTGTTCTTGAGTGCTGCATTGTATCTCTGCATGGAAGGACTGGATAAACTGGAAAAATAAGTTCATTTCCTCCATTAGTCTGAGTGTTCTCATCAGCCCCAGAAAAACAAAAATCCATCAACTCAATAAACCTAAAAAAATCTAAAAATTAGTCACAAAAAAGAAACATGAATTAGTAACTGTTAATTAAAAAGTTTCTCTTAACCTTCGGATTTCACTCAATTTCCAAATAACACAATAATCCTAGCCTTTCAAACCCACAAGGGGCCTAAGCCTCTCAGTCAGATTTTGCATAATGATGGCATATCTACAGAGAATTTATTCAATAATGGATATTTCTTTAAAGAACAATCTATCGAATCTCATAATATGCAGAGATAATAATATTCCAAAAGCCACAAGAGACTTCAATTTCTGAAATTCTTGTTACAATAATTCCTCAAAAGCTCCTTCACCCAGCCAGTCATGACTCATGGCCAAAACCAAAAGTTCCAGCCACTTCATTAAACTACCCACGTGCAAAACAAGAAGAAAAACAGATTCGGATCAAACACTTTCCTCAAATTACACCAACCAGTAGTGACACAAAAAAAAACAACAGATTATAATGCAACTGCAAGCCCATTCCCAGATCTTTAATATTGACAGATAAGAAATCCACAATAACTGAGTCAAAATGGTACTCCTTAACGATATGGCATGAAAATTAGAAAATACTATCAAGTAAATGAGCCAAGTTTCGACCCCGCATTCATAACATTGTAGCAAATTCACAATCAGACCATTCAAACCAACAGGAAGAGAAACTAAACAGAAAATAATTCCAATTATGGTAGCAAAACTCACAAGACAGAAATAATCCCCAAGTCAGCAAATTTTGTATTTAGGGTTCCCATGACTTGTGCTTGCTTCGGCTTCCAAATCTCAATCTCAAGCTCAAATTTGCAGGTAAACTTTTTCAATTTCGGGTTTCAGACTTTCAGTCAATCGCAGTGTTCAAAAAATGGGGCTAGGCGGACGGCTAGGCGGCTAGGCGGCGCTAGGCGGCTAGGCGGCTAGGCGGCGCTAGGCGGCTAGGCGGGCGCTAGGCGGCTAGGCGGCTGGGCGGGCCTCCTAGGCGGGTTGGGTCATTTTTCGGTGCCGAACAAGCAGGACGAAGCAGCCGAAACTTGACTGCGTCTGCAAGCTCCGTCCTATGCGATTGCAAGCTTCGTGTTTGTTTCAAATGTATTCAAAGCGTATAGCCGAACGGCTATACCCTTAAAATATTCGAATATATTAATATTTAAAGAGTATAAAATATCCAAATGTATTTAGAAAGTAAAGCCGCACGGGGCTAGAGTTATTTCTTCAATTATTTTATTTATACATGCAATGCAATATTAGGAAATGAGAATTTAAATTCTTTATGATACTTCACATTCTAATGATTTCCAGCTATTAGCCCATTTGGCAAGAATAAAAAATGAATTTTTGTTTTTCTGTTTTTGTTTTTGTTTTTTTTTGAGAGGAAGTAGTAAATGTTCATTAAAATTGTGAAATGTTACAGACTCGAGCGAAGAAACGTGGTGTTCATTAAAATTGTGAAATCTTAAATTAAAGAAACGCCATTCAAGTTTTCAAAAAATTGGCCGCCTAGGCGGGCTAGGCGGGTCCTTTTTAAAAAAAAACAAAATAGTATAGAGAACAGAGCAGAGAGGCCATTGCCGGGGTGGTTGGTCGTCCTGACCAGACTTTTTAGTAACCTGAGAAGTTCAGTGGATGGTCATTGCCGGGGTGGTTGCTTGTGTCATTGACTCTTAGGCAAAGTTGATATATACAGAACAGAGCAGAGAGGCCATTCACTGGCATAGTCGCATTCATACCTTACAAGCTATATCTATTTCTTTCTCTGCTTAATTTCTTATCCTTCCTTTCTTTTCTTTTCTGGTAAGTTCTTATCCTTCTTTCCGGATTGAGTGAGGCACCTTCAATTGCGTTTTACTATTATAGGGGAAACTTCTGTTTTTGTTTTTTTTGTTTTTTGTTTTTAATTATATATATTTTATGAAGAGCCACTAGATATGCTTTGGTAAATTAGATTTATTTGGTGAACATCATGGAGTTCATGGACTTATATAATTGTTTATTTATTTGCTTATAGTAAGGAGAGGGCAATAATCAAACTCTTACTATATATTTATCTCTAAAGAGCCCCGTTGTTTAATTTATAATTTTAGAGTAAGGTCTTGATGGAGACACCCCAATCCCATGTAGACCCATTGATTTTTGACACACAACTTCAAGTTGAGCCTTTTATTATTACAAACTCTAATGCCAGGTGTGGGTTTCGAACCTCAAATTCAGTATGAGGTTAAACACTCTTAACCACTACATTATGACCCTATTGGCCATCCCAACTTCAATGTAGGAATAAAAACTCTAAAACTTCATATATACTTTAAAATACATTATTCCGAACGAAAAAAATATTATATCAAACTATAAACCAAAACTTTATTAAGTATTCCGTCAAAATCAATATAAAAAAATTTGCTAAGGAAAATTTATATCAAGTTCGAAATAACTAAGAAAATTATTGTGACTTCGACCGAAAAAAAGGGGAAAAATTATTGTGTGATACAAAAACATGATCACGTGGTATAACCAGTCTACTTATTATAATATGGGTAGATAATATAATTGGTATTTCCGACTTATTTCAACATTGCACAATGATTGCTCAATAATAAATCAGTAAACTTCAATCATATACTTGGATATGCTTCGTGCAAAACATAAGGTTACGCAACGAAAAGAAAACCTTTATACATTTATGAGGGCCTAATAAATCACCGAAGTAATCGGTCCATATGTCAACCACTTTGCAGGATATATTGGCCGTATACTGTACCCACCCAAATCCTGATTGGGCACATCCATGTCGTTATTGGATAAATTTGGGCCGAAAATACCCCCAGTATTTTCAAGTTAATGCTCCTATGGCCCACCCTGGTTAAGCTGTTAACTTATCGGCTAGAGCACACACACTACTGTTTATCAATTTATCATAGTAGTTTATGATCCAATAAGATTTGCTTCATTTGTGTATAAAAACAACAATGTAACACGTAAGGGGCTTGTAGCTCAAGTGATTTAAGAGTATTTATCTTTGTAACCGAGATTCTAGGTTTGTTTCCCCCTTCTCTCAATATGAATTGTATCAAAAAGCAACAATGTAACGCAAAAATGTAATTTAATTGCACCTAGCTAGGAATCCATGTACAATCTCATGCATTATAATAATACTAGAGTCATCAAAAACTGTCCCAAATTTAAGTCGCCAAATAGATATATGGCATGCCGATATTTTACTTACTAGAAACAATAAAGTTTAAAGTGGCACTGTAATAAAACACTATGCATCATTTCAGATATGGAATTTTGGGATTTGTTTTGACATCCCTATCATTACTCTTTTTCATCAATGGTATCCTTAAGGTCACCTTGAACAAATCGACGCCAGTACCAATGCTTCACCCACACCGTATGCACTTGATCCAATGGGATTCCTTTCGTCTCTGGCAAGAAAAGCACGACGAAGACGGTCATTGCCATAATCCAACCGCCGTAGAACAAGAATGTGGCATATTTTAAATGGCATAGCATGGACAAAAAGGTTTGGGATAGCACAAATGTAACACCAAAGTTGACAGCAAGCCCCATGCTTTGGCCTGTGGGTCGAATTTTCATGGGGAAAATCTCACTTGGTATAAGCCAACTCAAAGGACCCCATGACCAACCAAAACCAGCAGCATATAAACACATCAAGACCAGAACTAGTATGGCATAGCCCTTTGAGATGTGCCCGTTGCCATCGGTACCTGTTGTAGCTGCTAGAACAATAGCCACCGCAACCTGCACAAAAACGTATGCCAATTTATATGTTATGCAGCTCGCTTCATGATTGTATTTCACCTGCACATAGTGGCTTTCATTCTAGGTCCTTTGACCATAAACCCAATCAGTTTAATTGTAAGGGTTTCATACTCAAATCAAATGTATTATCTTTTTCAAGGTAAAATTATATACATACCTGACAGATGACCATTTGGATGCCACCCTCCATGAACAAAAACCTCCGGCCATGACGATCAACCATGTACGTCGACACAAGGATCGAGCCAAGATTAACCAACCCAAGAATAATAGACGCAATGAGAGCAGAGTCGTTGCCAAACCCTACAGACTGAAACAACACAGGCGCATAGAAAGCAATGATATTAATGCCAGTGACCTGCTGAAAAAACGGCACGGCAATGGCCCCGATCACAAGCTGAGGCCTGTACTGCCTCTGAAATATGGTCACAAATGGCTCCTCGTTGAGAGCTTTGGCGATCTCGCTGGCCTTAACGAGCTGGGCAAGTTCTGCTTCGATATCCTCCTTGCCTCGGATTTTGATGAGAGATTTTCTGGCTTGGTCTAGTCTGTTGCGTTGTACTAAGCTTGTGGGTGAGTCTGAGATGAAGAGGGCGCCGGTGGTCATGATGGTGGCTGGGACTATGGCTAGGCCGAGGGAGAGGCGCCAGCCCCAGCTGTGCTTCGAGGTGGCGTAGTTTATGCAGTTGGAGGCCACCACCCCGATTCCGATGCAGAACTGGAAGCCTGTACTGAATGCACCGCGCCACTTGGGTGGTGCGATCTCTGAGAGGTAGATTGGTGCAGACTGTTTGGACATTGTTAGAAGGGGATGTTAGTAAATGTGGATTCATACTAAGCAATGCAATTGGTTTTCTTATTTTTTATTTTTTGAGAAGACAATTCTAAACTACTATAATGTACGAGTTGTAGTTGAATTTTTGTGCAAGAGAGGAAGGGGTAGAGACACAATGCGTTGGTAAATTGACTTAACCCACGTTTGCATGCAATATTACTCCAATGCGTATTATAACTGTGAGATTAATTAAATACCTAAATTGTACATTATTAAGGCAATTTTTTATTTTTATTTCTTATCAACAATGGGGGAGAAATAAAATTAGGCCACGACCAATTGATGGACTCGGTATTTTAGTACCCTGTCATATGTACTTGAGTCTCTAGAGAATATATCATAAGTACAAGATAAAACTCTTTGCACGATCTCAATTGATTTGTGAGACACTTTTTGGGGCTCCGCATCTTTATTCCAAAGATAGTCCATAAGTAATCACAGTGGGATGGTACAAATATGGTACAAATATTTAGTAGAAATATCGAGTGACAAAATAATCTAGTTAAAGATGACATGTATTGAGAAAGTAAAAATAAGTATTAGTTTTTTTGTCAATACTCCTATGTTAGAATTTGGAAGAAATTATTGGGTCCAAAATCCCATTTTTGGGAATGTAATAGAATCTTCCATTTTGATGGGCTATATTCTTAGCAAACCCAAACATAGCGTTAGAGATTGGTAGACTTACTTGGTTTGTGAACCCAACACCAAATCCAAGCAAGATACGGCCCAAGATAAGCATGGCAACATTGACAGCCCCACCATTGATAGCAGACCCAGCAAAGAAGGTACAGCCACCCAGCACCATGACATTCCTTCGGCCCACTATCCGGGCCAGACGGCTGGCTACAAGTGAGGCAGCCAAACCCGCTATGTAGAGAGAGGATGTGAAGGACGTCAAAACTTGACTATCATACACACAATAAATGTTTTTGGGGGAACTTCCTGCTTCCTTTCTCAGCACTGATGGGAAAAATTTATTCAGAAATGATGGCATTGTTGTCACTCCTCCTGAAAAATTTGTGCATTTTCATGGTTAATTTCATGCATTTGATCAGCAAACTATTCACTTTAATATGATAAGTATGTGCTAGGTAGGTTTAATATAATCATCGTGTCATTTAGTTCATTATGTCTGATACCAACACGTATTAAAAATATAAATTTTTCTGACATAAAGATGTTGGCGAAATTGAGCTGGTTAGCTCGGCCACATCTTAATTCTCTTATCAAATAGTTTGATATCTTGTAAAAACTAATAAGTAAGATAGAATTTTATTCCAAACGTCTGGTTATTAAACAAAGGTTCACGTTCAAACACTGTGGGAACCACATAAAAAATAAACCTATATAGCCAAGTATTTTAACTTAAAAATTCAAAAAAATATACACAATTTCATATTTTACCAATACCAATAGGCATAGTCAGAGGTCTTCCGTGTTTGTATTTGGTGTCAAAGATTGTTGCAACACCAATACGCATAGTAAGGGTAAAGTCTTAGCTCTAATTCTCCAATTTTAATCTTTTTATTAATTTGTCTCCAAAAAATAGAAGCATTTTTCTAAATGAAATTCACCATTCCGTGAATAATCTGACTATAATTTCATTTGTTTTTTTTTCTTGTGTTTGCAACTAGTGTGATTTATATAATAGTATACTTTTATTTCTAGAAACTGTTTTTTTTTAATATTTATAAATATAATTAGATTTTAACCTAATAACTTTAACAAACTCACCTTATGAAATTCATGGCTCTGCCTTCTACTTCAAATTTATATAATTGCAACATATAAAAGTAGGTACGTAACCATAATATGAAAATAAAAGTCAAGATGATGCTACTCATATAATAATGAGGGGGAGAGAGAACTGTATAATTCTTTGTTTAATAATATGAATCACCTAACCAAATGATAATGAGGGGAAGAAAGCACTAGAAAGGCTTTTAAAAAGCGGCCAACCAAGAAACAACCTTAAAAATCATCGCACCTGTAAATGCAAAACCCAAATTGGTTTCGATTATTAAAATTGATTAGATCTCTACGTTATCTTCTTAATAATAAAATAAAATAAAGTAAATAAAAATCATGGGACACCCAACCTAACCTAACAGTCAACAGCATTCAGTCGCAAATTTGTTGTCAATTATTGAGATTGGAAAAATCTGTTTTGTCCTTTTTCTTTTCCAAGATCATAGACTTTTGACAAATAAACCAAACTCTACCCAACCCAACCAAAACTTGAGCTGCCAAAGCCTAGCTGGCTATGTAAAAACATCATCACGATTCATGAAATAATATCAACTCATGAATTATGAGAGCTAGCTAGCTGCCAAGGGAAAGGCCCAAGATTCAACATGTCCCTTGTAGGTATGATTTGTTCTCTTCGTAGGATATGGGACAATGGATATTATTACTTTCAATTTAGCTTTTGACATTTAATACATACATTGTCATTGTCAAGGTATAAAAGTTGGAAAGACTTATTTTACGTCCACTGATTTATGCTCGTGTGTGAGAAATTTCTAATCATATCAACGTAGAATCCGCATTTGATTAATGGCTTGAAATATTTACCAGAAAATAATTATCAACTAATATTGTTTAAGTTGAACGGTGACTACCCATAATTCAAATATTTGCAGGCTACAACTACTGAACTTAATTTCACTCATCAATTGCAAATTTGGAACCCTCTCATGCTTCTTCTAGTAGTTCTTTTTAACTTTTAGTTTTTGGATAGTTTTGTCAGGTGAAAAACTTCATTAAACAGGAGAAAAAAAACATAAACTGACGAGGAAGGAAAGACTTAATAGAAAACACTAAAACAAAGTCTAGTTAAAATCGAACGTCAACAACATTAACGAAACCGCTAAATAATTAACACAAAACGCACCTGAAATTCCGATGTCATAACCAAATATGAGGCCGCAAGACGCAGCGACGATGCACGTGATCACGACGGAAGCCGTTATCTTGCCCTCGACGCCAGTGACAGCCAGAGGCCCGTCAACGGCGAAACCCACGGCCATTTCCTCAAATATATATCTTGCACACTTTCCTTCCCTTTCTCTCTTTTTGATTCTCTCGGGAACCAAACAGTAGCTAGCGCTTGAATTACTACTCGAGTCAAAACGAAAGGAGAGCTCTAAGTCCAGTGTCCACGTTCTGATGACAATTTGTAGGTGCGTGAGAGAGATTTGGGGGTCAAGAAGAAGTGATTGATTTTTATAAGCAAAGACTAATGGCGTTGCAATTTGCAAAACTTAAAATTTAAGCGACTTTACCCGGCACCAAAATAAGAAAAGCTACCTACCAGTAAGCTGGTCTATATTTCTGAACCTATCAAACTCCTCCACACATAAAAAAATTATTGAGTTTTTTTTGTTTTGTTTTTATAATACTTCCAATGAGGGGGAAAAACACTGTTGATTCCTTTGTCGGATATATGACTTTAGATAAATTTGGATTAAGGGAATCGCAAGAAAACCACACGTTTCAGATAAATTTGATTTGAGTATCTTAAAAAAGAGAAGTAATTACGTAAAGTGTGGAATGAGTGAAAAAGGGAAAATGACCACAAAATTTTCTCCCATGGTTGTCTACCTAATTATCACTAATTATGTTTAAATTTGTTAATCATCGAATTAAAAAGATACATAAGTCAAACCCTTGCAATTAACTATTTAAATTTTAAGCCAACTGTCTTGAAAAAATGGGGAAGGGGTAGTTGGTCATGAAACAAAGCGTGCACCTTCCCTTCCATAATTCAATTTTTTTTTAAAGCTTCCCTTCCCTTGTAGGCATGCATGCAGTTGTTTAATGTTTTGTGTGTGGGATATGAGATGGCTTCCACCACTTGAATAGCAAGGGAAACTACAGATGGAAATGTTTGGAAGATTAGCAAATGGTGTCTCAAATTGATGGTTGTTTCCATAAGCAGTTGCTGAGGGTCATATCATGATGTGTTTAAACTGGTACTCACTTTGAGGTGGATACTTAAGCTCACCTAATCAAATGACTTTATAGCTGCCCTAGTTTACCACCGTACATTTTATGAGAATTTTAAAGAGTTGTGTTTACCATTATAATTCAAAATCTTTATCCAACCGCAATCGCGTTACAACACTTTGTTTGATCGAGATATACTTCACTACTACAGTATGACTCATAAGGCACTATGCTCTCTTGTACCTTTTGAATCAACTATTTGTGCTTAGAGTTTGTTTGAGAATGCTTCTTAATGGGTTAAGAAAAGTGTTTATGACTGCGTTTGACAAATATATTATTATTATTTTTATTATTTTTTATTATTATTATTTTTTTGGGTGAAAAAGGACCAACATGTGCTTTTTCAAGAAAAACTTCAAGTGTTTTTACATGCACTTGGATTCTTAACAAAAACGCTTACAAACAAAAGTGCTTCTTCTAAAAGCAATCTCACAAACCCTTAACTTTTCAGTTGATTGGACTTTTGGACAGGTCATCCTGGCACGATACTCATGCTCAAAGAGTTTAGTTTGAGAGGAAAATAAAGTTAGCTTGTGGCGTTGGTTCTATTCTATGTGCCGTTGTCTGTTTTCTGTTTTCTAGAAGAAACATCGACAAATTTTCCCTTGGGTAAAACATCGACAAATTTTTTGCTTGAACTCACGAAAACTGGGAGTTTGTTTGCCTGCCAATGCCTACATGCAGTTTTCTAGTAGTGCATCTACCTGAAAAAAGCAAAAAGCAAAAACAAATTACAACAAAAAAAAAGAAAAAAAAAGAAGAAGGAAATTACAAAAGAAAAAACGAAAGAAAAGTACAAAGAAGGATATGCCTCCAGTGTCCTCCATTTATCAACAATCCGTGCTTGGAAATTCAGTGCTGGTTTAAGGGATCCGTTTGAATAACTTAAAAAGTTGTCCTTCTCCATAAGGCTTTATCTATCAGTCTCAGTTCGATTGTTTGATTGAAATATTATGGGCTCAAAAGGCCCTTTTTTTTTCAAGCCTTGCAGTGTTGGCCTAAAAATGGGCCCGGCCCACATAAAAGACCTCTAAGAAAGGTGACATTTTAATTAAATAATGAAATGCGACACTTTAAGTTAGTTCCTAACTAAGTCCTTTCAAATGGCGAGAAAAACTGGGGTAATGAGTTAGAATTATAATAAGTCGAGAAATTGATCCGTTCCAATGTAATAAGAAAGGAACCCCCACAACTATGAAATTCAATTAAGAAAAGGAAAATTTGAGTATGATAGCTTTGAGCACTAAAATTTGTGTTTGGATCCAACCTTGTCCAATGAAATTTTAGGACTTAAACTCATATTTTGGTCCTCCCCATCATAGTTTGAAATATCGATAATATCGACGAAATATTGAGGATATTTCGGTTTTTTCGAATCACGGATATTTCGGAACATATCCATGTACATATTGTATAAATATCGACAATATTGACGATAATATCGGAAAATATAGATGTCGATAATTTCGCTCACACTTCAGCAATATTTTGTCAAAATATCAGTGTAATATTGCTAAATATTGAAAATATCGATGTAAAGGGAAAAAACAAAGGAAAAAGAAAAAAAAAAAAGGAAAAAAAGGGAGGAAAAAAAACACAAAGGGGATTTGAACCCCTCCCATTTTACTCATCCAACACCTTAACCACCATCATTTGATGAATACTTTTCATAATATACTTACTCTACACATAGAGATGATGAAGATAGTGAAAAATTTGAACCTCATAAGAACTCTATGTGGTACTAAGTCACTCATATATCTTACCATGCAATGTATAAAGTGTAAAATATTGTAGTAAATCATTATATAAATTATTATGGTGTGTTTAATCTTTTTTTCAATAATTATTACATATTTTCTACACTCACAGTGTTTGCCAGCTCGCTATATAATCAACTTAAATCAGTTAAATCAATCATGTAATGCATTTCCTTCTAATTTTTTATTATTATAAACTAACAGATAATTGACTAAATAAACATTCTCCAAAGTTTCAATAAAAATTTTCAAGTTTTTCTTACAATTTCTGTGGTTTTTATTCAATTTTTATCGATATCGATAATATCCCAATATTTCCATCAAAATTTCCATTTTTTTAGACTACCGATATTTTCGATATTTTAGACCATGCTCCCCATTGGAGCACAAAAGAGTGACTCTTAATTTACTCACTTCAAATATTTTAAAACAAGTTAATACATATTTTAAATTTAATTTAATGATATTTATCTTTGGGTTTTTAACCGTAGAGATGTCCCTAAACTTTGCATCAAGTTGCAATTGGGTCCCAGAACTTTTTTTTGAGGCAATTACATCCGTTAACTTGACAAATAGTTCTAATTGGGTCATACCGTCCAATTCTGTCAATTTATCTGTCAAAATGAGGGGGTAAAAACGTGCTTTCTAGTTCTTCATCCATCATCAACCCCAACCACCCCACCTCTATCTTCAAAGCCTATGGAAGTAAATATTCTCGCATTTATTGCTACTGCACTGTTTATTCTAGTTCCTACCGCTTTTTCCACCAAGCCCAAAACTCAGAAACCCCTAACTCAACGATCTTGGTTATGAGAGTGAAACCATCAAAGGCAAAACCCCACACCAACTCCACCTTCTTCATCCATCATCGACCCCAACCACCCTTCCTCCATCTTCAGAGCCTTCTCCATGAAGCCCAAAACTCATAAACCCCTAACTCAACAATCCTAGTTATGATAGTGAAACCATCATAGGCAAAACCCCACAAAACTACAAAACTCAACGACCATAATTCGACTTTTAGGAAGGATTGAGCCATCATAGGCAAACCCCAAAACTCAGAAACTCCCAAGCCCAACGCCACCATACAACCACCCTCGTCCCCACCCTCAATCCACCCAGCCTCACCTGAAACCCATCCAAATCCTCTCTCTCTCTCTCCAAATTCAAAAATTGAAAAAGAAAAAAGAAATGAACACTTTGCATCTTTGGGGGGGTGGGGTTGTGGGTTGTGATCTGGATTTTGATGGGGTGGGATAAAGAGGAGGGGGAATGGGTTGCGGGAGAGAGGGAGAGACAAAGAGGGAGACTTGAGAAAGAGAGAAAGAGAGAAAGAGAGAGAAAGAGGGATTTGGATTTCTATTTTTATTTTTTAAGTTTATTTATCTATTTAAATATTATTTAATTAAATTTGTTCACTTTTTTTGTTTTTTTTTCAAATTTTAAAATTTAAAATATTTTAATTGAGATGGACTGTTTCAGCCCTCAAATTAACAGTCAAATTGACGGAAGGACTTGATTGAAACGAATGAGAGAGTTGGATGACCTAATTGCTTCAAAAAAAAGTTCGGGAACCCAATTGCAACTCGATATAAAGTTCAGGGACCTTTACAGTTAAAAACCCTTTATCTTTCAAATGCTAAAAGATGTATCAAGTTTTCATAAAATCACAAAAAGAATCAAATGAATCGTAGATTGGATTACAACTTAAAAAACAAAAACAACTTTTATGTCATGTTTATTAATCCGTAATCAGATGAGGAATAATTGAATTGAGGAGAAGTTGGATAAAGGAGAGTCAGAATTTAGATTCTTATTAAAGTTCTAAACTAAACCATTTGGAATCGGAGTTGGAATGATACTAATTCCTTGTAAGTTGTTTACTAAAGAATCATAATTGAAAACACATTGATTACTAAAATGCTCTCGTTGCTGAGTTAAAATGGATGACAAATTTGAAAATTTAAAAATTATGTGAGGTTATATTGGTTAAAATAAATGAATTTCCTAATTCTCTAAAAATTAGAATACCACCTTCAATCCCACTCGCATCGGAAGTAAAATACAGATTAGTTCGACCACCCCAAAAAGAGGCTTCTACATATTGGCGGGAAAGGGGATAAAACGGGGAGAAGACCGGTTCACTGGCTAGAAGACAGTAAACAGGTAAAGCAAAAAAAGGCGGTAAATAAAGAAACAAAAGAGGGGCATATTCGTCAAGATAGCGTCAATGTCTTAAGCCCTTCACTGTGCTCACAAAATCCCCATCTCAAATTACAAACCCTAGCGCGAGCCCTCCGCCGCAGCCTCAGACTCAGACGCTCTCAGTTTCAAGCTCTCAGAGATGTCGCACTTCGGACGATCTGGACCTCCAGATATCAGAGACACCTACTCTCTCCTCGTCCTCAACATCACGTTCCGTATATACCTTTTTGCCCTTCTCCTCCGTTCCCCTTTTCGGTTCTTCCTTGTTCAAAACCCTAACAATCTCTCTCTTTCTTCTGCTTTCTCTTTTCTGTGTGTGTTTTACTAGGAACCACCGCAGACGATCTCTTCCCGCTCTTCGACAAGTATGGCAAGGTAGTCGATGTCTTCATTCCCAGGGACCGAAGAACCGGTGATTCGCGCGGCTTTGCTTTCGTTCGGTATAAGTATCAGGACGAGGCTTCAAAGGCCGTAGAGAAGCTCGACGGTTAGTTTCTTCTTCTTCTAATCATAAGGAGAAGCTAGGGTTTTGTAATTAACCAATCGATTTTGCTTTCAGGGAGAGTTGTCGATGGAAGAGAGATTATGGTTCAGTTTGCTAAATATGGCCCCAATGCTGAGCGAATGTAAGTTTTTTGTGTAATGTTATGGGTATTGAGCAATTGGTTTGTTGCCAGTTATGGTCTTTTCGTTGGCGAGTTGCTGTTTTATTAATTTGAAAGTTGTTGTTTTGTTTTTTCAATTTCCAGCCACAAGGGTAGGGTGAGTGAATCATCTTCCAAGCTCAAATCAAGGTCCAGAAGCCGCAGCCCTCGTCCAAGGTGATATTTTTTCTTTGCTAGAATTGCATAATTAATTGTATTCTGATCCTAAGTAGACTTTGGGTAAAGCGATGTCAAACTTTGTGGTCTAATGTAGGGTTGCTAGTCCTTTTGCAATACTGTATATCCAATTGCAGTTTCCTTCTTAATAATTTGTGAGTTGGTACTCAGAGCCCACTGTTGCTTTAGGACATCTAGGCATTTAATTTTAGCAGCTGATGGTTCTCATTTTCCATTGATGTGGAAACAGCATGTGCAGTTCAAGGGGCATTCTTTTGTAGCATAGGGTCTCTTTGTACTTATCAAAAATTTCTTTTATTTATTAATCCTTATCTTAGATTGTTGTTTTTCATCTTCCTACATCTTTTTTGAGGTTTTGGTGAAATTTTCTATTTTTTTCAAGGGTATTACACCTTACATCATTTTTCTTTCTCTGTTTATTTTTTCTGAGGGGTGCGGAGTGTTTTGGTGCATGAATTACCGTTTTTATATTTTATCATTTGGTTCCTAGCATAATTCCAGAGGACCCATGGCCTCTTTAACAGGGCTCAGGTGGGCTCAACCGTCTGAAATTCAAAACACCTCTTATTTCGATCTCAAACACAGCTCGTTTCATGTGTTGAATAGTAGGATCAGGTCTTTACTACTCCTTTATGCTGTATGATGCTATGGGTGGAAGATGTTGTGTTTTAAGTGATTTGATTATTGCAATGGCACAGTCCACTTAGGTTTCTATTCTCACCGAACTAAATTTACATGGCTTTGAGGTGTTTATTTGTTGCTGATACAACTAAATATACTTGTAATAATTTTGTGCTTTTGAAAGGGTGTACTACTAACATGGCCTTTTTGAACTGGTACTGATTTATTTTCCAGAGTCTATTGTGGAAATTAGTCTGCAGCAACTGACCCTATAGATTTTCAGATATCGAGATGAACATAAGGATAAGGATTACAAGAGAAGTCGCAGTCGAAGTAGGGAGAGACATGGTCGTGACAGGCATCATAGGAGTGAAAGAGAGCATCGCTACAGAAGCAGGAGCCGCAGTGCAAGTCCTGATAATCATAAATCCCGTGAGAGGAGTAGATATGATGATGAGCGGCGTAGTCGGAGCCGGTCATATGGAAGGTATAAAATGTTGTTTCTCTTTCCCCCATCTTCTATCATGAACTGTTGTGCCTTACCAAAGTGTATTTTTGATGCAAAATGGCTGTATTCTTAAGTGCCTCTCCTGCTCGGAATAGCCCTAAATCTCGGAGAAGCCCTTCTCCCCGGAGGAGCCTATCTCCCAGGAGGAGTTTATCTCCCGGGAGGAGCCTATCACCTCGGAGGAGCCCATCTCCTCGGAAGACCCCATCTTCTCGGAGGAGCCCTTCTCCTCGTAGGACACCTTCAAGGGGCGAGAATGCTGATGGACGCAACCGGAATGAGCGCTCTCCTACCCCAAAAGATGTTTCACCACATGGTCGACGTGATGATTCTCCAAGTCCTTCCCCTCGTAAATCTGATGCTGATGTGAGCCAATACACCACGCATAGACTTTTAACTTGTTTAGCTTTGGTTGGATTGCAACATATTATTGGATAAATAAGTCTCTGCATGGGTTGTTTAGGTGGTTATTTTTGTTCTGCAGGAATGATGGACTTGAATACAAAGTGGCCTGGGATGATACTTTTGGGTCGAGCCCTTGTATCTGCGTTCGTAGTTGGGAGAGGAGTTTCATATTATGATCAACGTATTGAATGTTACATTTGACTGCACTGCAGTTTTGTTGAAGGTTAAACATTTCTTTGTTGGACTCAGTGAGTTTCTTAACTCATCTAAGTTTGATGGTAGCTTTTGTATTCTTATTTATGGGCTGGTACAATATTAAGTGTTTGCTGTAGTTTCTATGATGGCCTTAGCAGTCCCTGCCAGTGGGAGTCTTCCTATTAATATTTTACATTGCAACTTTTTAGCTTGTGTGCTTGGCCTTTTTCCTCTTTAAATATTTTATCCTTTTGATTTCTTATTACTCTATTTATTTTCTTTTTTTTTTTTTTTTTTTTTTTTTTTTTTTTTTTTTATTACCATTTATAGTTATTTTACCTTTATTTTCTGTTTTTCTTTCTTTTGATTGAAATGTGCTATGTTCATATACTTACGATGGTCCATATACTGGCCTTATTTAGTGATGTTCGGGAAGAGTGAACATTGCTGATTGACGAGATGCTGTACTAGCTGTTGGTGCTATTTTAACTACACAAATGGTAGATGTCAATATATCATGTCCATGCTGATTGCAGTCTGGTCTTATTCCTACTTACAATGGTCCATATACTGGCCTTATTTAGTGGTGTTCGGGAAGAGTGAACATTGCTGATTGACGAGTTGCTGTACTAGCTGTTGGTGCTATTTTTACTACACAAAGGGTAGATGTCAATTTGTCATGTTCATGCTGATTGCAGTCTGGTCTTAAGCTGTTTTGCTGTCATGAAACTCTGGTTGGGTAAGAATAAAACTCATGATTTCAGTCTAATATCCATGGGGTTCTTTCTTTTCTCTGATCACACTTATTTTGGTTTACTGTTTGTAAAAGTTTGTTCCTACAAAGGAAACGTTGATGCTGTTGCCAAAAGTTGATCGGAATTCACTTGCCATTGCATGTAGCTGATGCGGTTTAGATAAAAACACATTGACTTTTTCTCTTTTAGGTTATTTTAGGGAAGAGAAGAAAAAAAGGGGTGGGGTTTGGTTATGATTTTCACCAGTTAAATGTTACTGGTCCATATTCTTGAGTCATACCCTTGATGCAATATTGGTATATCTGGTAAATACTGCCGCAAGGTACTTGTTCAGCTGTGTGAAAGATTATTTATTTTCTGCAAAGTTAAGCTTGTATAATAATTTCGGAATAAGTTATGTAATTGTAACCTTTCTTATGCCAATTTTCTTTTCCTTTTGTAGAACTTCTTTTGGGTCTCCGTACCGGTATCTTAATCACTGTTTTTTGACAAGTAGCCAAATTTTGGACATGTTACATGCATTTATCTCACTTTTATTTATTTTGATCATAGAGTTTTAGATTGAACCATGAATATTTCTTGGTTGATGGTAATCATTATTCATGACAAAATGTTGTCTTAATTAAATGTGGTCTCGGAGACTTGATTTTCACTTTATATTAAATAACTCTTTCATCTATTTCTTGTTTCCTCCTCACTTGTATGATTGAGTCTTTACCATTCAGATGAGTTAGCCTCTCAGATGTATGACTTGGTCATCGTCGACATGGTTGATTAAGGTAACTTGGTCATGGATCTGGATCACCGTCAACCAAAGCTGAGGAATTTGTTTAAGTTTAAATCAATGCCTTCCTAGTTGCGCATGCTTGTTTGAGGTTGCAGTTGTAGCTATCTTAGAGCTTGCATTTGATCCTATGCGGCCAAAATTGTCTGCCTGTTTGCTAGTTTCTTTGGTCGGATAACGTAAACTAGAACTCTAGTCAAAAGTCAACTTAAAATCCATGTAATATCATATTTGTCTCACTTTATGTAAGAAAACTGATTTGGCTTGGGAAATCTTTTTTATGTTTCATGACGGAGGTGATTACGTGTTATAGGACGCAAGGACCCCTAAAAACAAATCAATAATAAGAAAAATGATACAAATATACTTTAATTTAATCTAAATTACAAAGAGAGAGAGATTCGAATTCGGGTGCAAAATGGGGAGTATAATGACTCTAGCTAACATGACTAAGTCCATATTTGCATAACAAGAGAGATGTTAAGATGGGTTTTTGTGTGTTTTTGGTTTGAAAACGACACGTAATTGATAAAGTATCACAAGATGTAGACCATATAGCAAAAATCCAGGTTTGGATATGAGGAACAAAAGCAAAATATTAAGATGTTTGTTTTTGTTGGTAATTTAAAATATTAAGATGTTGAATGGCAGGCATTTGTGACTAGCTAGAAGAAAAATAAACATTATTCAATCCGACGCCCAAAAGCATAAAACAACCGTTATCTGTCCAAGATCAAAACAAATAATGGAATACTAACCTACCGACAAGGGAACAAATGATTATATAAGCAACTAAGAAAAATTATTTACAAAAAAAAAAAGAGAGATTGCGTCATGTCTTAGCGCATAGATGCTGAGTCCTTCTAAATAATTTCATAATCAGCATTGCTACATGTCCTTTTGTTTTTGGACGACTTGTAAAGTTATAGAAAATAGAACTAGGATCATGTCATCCCTTTGGAATTGATCATATTTTTATGTCCAACAAATCATGTTTTGAGTTTAACGCACAACGGGCTCTGCATTTGAGTTCACTAGAATGTGGCCCTGTGCGACTCGAATGCAGGATTCCCCATGTGTGTGTCTTCGGCTGGACGGGTGAGGTGGTCTGCCTGCTAAACTCAAGAAGAGGAGGAGGGAGAGTGGAGGTGAAGGTTATTTGGGATATTTGAAGGATAAAAATGGATATAATATGCTCTAATTTCCTTCTTTAGGCATGCACATTTGTAATGATTTTGTGATTTTTTTGTTTGTTTTTCTCAGGCATTTGTAAATGCTTTTTTGAATTCGTTGGTCTGGCTCCAATATAAAATTTGATTCTGTTTGAATAAGAAATTGACTAAAATACAGATTATAATATCCTCTAGAATATCAGCATGACATGCCACCCTTGACACGGACTTAATAATAAGAAATTTACAAAACAACAAAAGAAGGCTTTCCAAGTTCATAATGTCCTCTTCATCAATTTGTCAACAGGAACAGAAGGTAGAAGAATTACAATTGAAATACCAGTGGGATGTTAAACCATTACAAGCACCATGGGAACATCAACCTCTAAGAAGTGTTTACGCTCTCTAAGTTTCTTTATCACGTTCGTGTTTGTTTTCATTTCATCAGCAGGTTACGTTGCTTCTGCTGCTTCTGCTGAAGAAGCCGGTGCGCTTCTGAAATGGAAAACCAGCCTTCAAGACCATCAGTCACGCCTAACTTCATGGACTTCTCTGCACTCTTCCAACACAACAAGTCCATGCACTTGGTTTGCCATTTCTTGCAACACTGCTATGAGTGTGATCAAAATAAACTTGACTAAGTCCGGTTTACAAGGTACGCTCTCTGGATTTTCGTTCTCGTTGTTCCCGAATCTTGAGCATTTTGATCTCAGCATGAACTCAATCTTTGGTACCATTCCACCCCAAATCAGTCAGCTCTCCAAACTAGTCTATCTTGATTTGTCCTGTAATTGGTTGAACGGTTCAGTTCCTGCTTCTGTGGGAAATCTGAACAATCTGGCTTACTTGGATCTGTGTAGGAACTATCTAAATAGTTCCATTCCCTTAGAAATGGGGAACCTTTCAAGTTTGGTGGAGCTTTATTTGAATACCAACAATCTAACAGGTTCCATCCCATCAACTCTTGTGAACTTAAAAGGGTTAAGATTGTTATACATGTATGAGAACATGCTTGCTGGCTCCATTCCCCTAGACATAGGAAACATGGTATCTCTCAGGAATATAAGCCTTTACCACAACAATCTTTCTGGTGCCATCCCAGTTTCCTTATGTGACCTGAGAAACCTTACCTTGCTTGAACTCTATCGGAATAATCTTTCAGGCCCTATTCCGGAAAATATTGGAAACTTGAAGTCTCTTCTTGTTCTAAATCTAATGGAGAATAACCTCAGTGGTCCTATTCCCTTGTCAGTTGGTAATTTGAGCAAGTTACAAGTTTTATACATTCGTGACAACCCACTGTCAGGTTCCATTCCTGAAGTCATAGGAAATCTCATGAATTTGGTTGTGTTCCGAGTTGCCAGAAACAATTTAACTGGTTATTTGCCAGAGAACCTCTGCAAAGGTGGAAAGCTTACATACTTCACTGCAAATGGCAATAGTCTAATAGGCCGAATACCCAAAAGCTTGAGAAACTGCACAACCTTGTACAGAGTCCGACTTGATGGAAATCAAATCACTGGAAATATATCTGAAGACTTTGGTGTTTATCCAAACTTGGATTACATAAATTTAAGCGATAATAAATTTTATGGCGAAATTTCAGACAAATGGGGTAAATCTCTGCAACTAACAAATTTTGAGATTGCAGGGAACAATATCACTGGTTCCATACCACCTGAGCTTGGAAACTTGACTCAACTTCATCTGCTTAATCTTTCTTCAAATCATTTAGTTGGGAAGATCCCTATGGAACTTGGAAGGCTGACTTTGCTTGTGAAGCTTATGCTGAATGGCAATCAACTTTCTGGTGGTATACCTCAAGAACTTGGATCACTAACTGACCTTGAGTATCTTGACCTGTCCACAAACAATTTGAGCTTGCCAATACCAAGTAGCCTTGGGAACTTTATGCATCTGCACCACATGAATTTGAGCAACAACATGTTGAGCCACAAAACCCCATATCAGTTGGGAATGTTACTTCAGCTGTCTGTGCTGGATTTGAGTTATAACTCTCTGGATGAAGAGATACCAACTGAGTTTTTTGGTTTGGATAGCTTGGTGACACTAAACCTCTCCCACAACAACCTCTCTGGTGGTATTCCAGGCACTTTTGATAAATTGCGTGGCTTGGAGTTCGTTGACATATCATACAATCAATTACAGGGTCCAATTCCAAACAACAAAGCATTTCAAGAGGCTCCCATTGAAGCATTCCTGGGGAACAAAGGTTTGTGTGATGCTACAGGTCTGCAGCCCTGTCCTAGCAAAAAGAGGCCTAACTCGAAAGTCAGTTTCAAAATTGTGTACTTAGTTGTGCCACCTGTGGTGGGAGCACTTCTAATTGCTTCATGTGGAATTTATATCCCTTTACTAAGAAGAAAGAAACGTCAAAAAACAGAAGAATGTGACATGCCCCCCAAAGAATTTGAACTGCGTTCAATTTCGATTTTTGGTGGGAAGTTGTTATATGAAGAAATCATAAAAGCAACTGAGGATTTTGATGATTCATATTGCATTGGAAGAGGGGGAGTTGGAAGGGTTTACAAAGCAAAGCTGCCCTCAGATAACTTGGTAGCTGTAAAGAAACTCCACAGTCCATGTGATGGTGAGAGGAGCTTCCAAAAGGAGTTCTTAAATGAGGTAAGGGCATTAACTGAGATACGCCATCGAAACATTGTGAAGCTTTATGGTTTCTGTTCACATTCGCGACACTCATTTTTGGTTTATGAGTACCTTGAAAGGGGTAGCTTGTTTTCAATCTTGGCCAATGATGAGGAGGCTAGTAAATTGGATTGGAGTAAAAGGGTGAATATCATTAAAGGTGTGGCTCATGGCTTATCCTACATGCACTCTGATGTGTCCCCGCCAATTGTTCATCGAGACATATCCAGCAAGAACATTTTGCTAGACGCTGAATATGAGGCTTGCATTTCAGACTTTGGCACTGCTAAGCTTCTTGAGCAGGACTCATCTAACTGGACCACCGTTGCAGGCACATTCGGATATGTAGCACCAGGTAATTTCTTGTCAAAGTTTGCCATGACATGTTGTCAGGCTGTCTATTTGAACTACACACTCAAATAAGAATCCACCTAATCAAATGATAATTCAGATCGACAATGTGACACATAACATGCCACATTATTCGACATAAGATCAGCTCTTGCGCACCTAATCTGTTGTACTCTTAAAAGAAAACAAAAAGACTATTTGACATTTATAACTTTTGTGTTTTCCCTTTTGTCAGAGTTTGCTTATACATTGAAGGTGACTGAGAAATGTGACGTCTACAGCTTTGGAGTGTTAGCACTTGAAGTGATTAAAGGACAGTACCCGAATAATATTCTAATAGGGTCTTTGTTGTCACCAGCATTAAGCAGGGAAGGCAAAATTCCGGTGGAATTGCTGGATGGTCGCCTTCCACCACCCACAGATAAAGTTCTGGATGAAATTTTTACTATCTTGAAGCTAGCTGTTCCATGCTTACATGCCAATCCAAAATTTAGGCCTAGCATGCTTGACGCTTCTCAGATTATAACACTAGAATTCTCCCAGATAGAGAATGACAGATAGAGGGCTGAATTTATGTTTGGTTGAGGCATTTGGAGAGGACATGAACTTGGATCATCTCCTTCAATTTGTATAGGCTAGATGTAGCTACCAATTAATTGAACTCTCTGTTTGTGTATAGACAGAATTTTGGTAAACACCATCTTGCATGTTGTTTGTACAAATTTCCTCACGAGAATATTCGGTTGCAAAGATTCCTCTTCCTTCCTCGCCTCCTCTTTCTCCCTGCAAAATAGAAGAAATAAGAGGGCCACACCCGGGGGGTGTTGGCCAAAGGCCCTTCAATGCCTAAATTAGTTCAAGAGTTTGTAAAAGAAACACTAGCTAATTAGGGTACGGAGATGTGTTTAAGGTGTAAACTAGGCGGCCGGAGCCTTATGTAAAAAGAGAGAGAGAGAGAGGAGGTGGCTAGGGTTTGAGAGGAATTTTCTGCAGAGTTTCAGTAGAGATTTTAGACGTACCTCAACCCTTGTGTGTGGCTATCCTTTTATAGTGGTCTTGGAGGCTAGGGTTTCAGAGGAATAATTCCGTAGATGGAAGGGAATTATTCCTCCCCTATTTGGAATTGATTTGATTAATTAAGGATTTGATTTATTAGGGTAAATCAAATCCCCAATTGTGGTAGGTATCAAATCAAATCCTAATTTAATTAGATAACTCCTCATTTAATTGGGAATTGTGGTAGGAATCAAATCAATTCTCAACCTAATTAGTTAACGTTCCATTTAATTGGGTAATCCTTAATTAAATTGAGTAACTCCCAATTAAGTTGAATAATTCCCAATCAGGTCAAATAATCCCCAAATGGAAGGAATCATTTGACCTAAGGTCTGATTTAATTCGGTTCCCACACATGTTGTATAAATAATATGAATATCTTATAAAAGTATTCAGAGATGTAATTATGGTGTTTGGTGATAATTTTTCTATGAGAATAATAAACTCTTACCAGAAAATATAAGCAGAAGATTGGAGAATCATTAATTGATTTTTCAACCATTTCTGAAAATAATAGTAAATACTCAAAATTTAAGAGCCATTTGATGCCTCTCAACTTGTTGAAAAAAACGACACAAGTGCTGACTTCCAGTGTTGGATATTTTGGAAGTCTCTGGTTAGCTTTCTGTCCCTACACAGAGACAAAGTCAAAAATCACTGCTTCAAATTTACAGAAACTTAAAGTAGAAAGCAAACAGAGAGAGAAACATGAAGAATAAAAAGTAGGAGAGAAGGAAATTATGATTGAATCTCACTCTGATAAGGATAGCTGGGCTAATGCTTGTGACTTGTGTGAGTGCTCAGCCTTCAGTCCTGCTCTTCTCCTTTATATACCGATCTCTGCATGATTGCAGCTAAGTGTGAAAAGGGCCTTGTCCTGCTGGAGGTGCTAAAAAATGGTGCGGTCAATCGTAGGCCATTGGTTATCCTCTATCACAATATCATGATCAGATGAGACCAAATGGCATATTATTCTTATGTAATTTCAATTTGTGGAAGAGAAAAAAACAAACATTCCCAAAGGCTTGTCAATCTTTGACTGAAGTGTTTTTCAAATTCCTCAGCACACCAATCTTGAGTTTTCCATCTTCATCTAAACAGGACCATAGAAAGAGACCATGTTGCAGATAAAGCCTCAAGCTCTGAACAGTGTTGTTTCTCAAACAAAAGCCATGAGAGCTTCAACTTATGATAAGGTATGCTCTCTAGCTTATTGCCTTATCTTGTATGTTCAGCTGGTTTCATCATCAACCATTGTTTTTGCTTCTGCCATTTCTACTGAAACAGATGCTCTTCTCAAATGGAAAGCCAGCATTGAAAACCAAACCCAGCTCCAAAATCTAACCTCATGGACTTATCTTCCAAGTAACAATGCCATCAATTCTTCAAGCAATCCAGAAACAAATGAAAATCCATGTAATATTTGGAGTGGGATTTCCTGCAACACTGCTGGAAGTATCAGCAAGATAAACCTTACCAAGTTTGGTTTACAAGGTACACTGCATGAATTTTCATTCTTGTCCTTTCCCAATGTTGAATATATTGATCTTAGCAGGAATAAGATATATGGTGCCATCCCACCTCAAATCAGCTCCCTCTCCAAACTCATCTATCTTGATCTCTCAGATAATAAGTTGTCAGGAAAAATCCCACCAGAAATTGGTTTCCTAACAAATCTTCAGAACCTGTACCTATATACAAACAAGCTAAATGGCTCAGTTCCTCAAGAAATAGGCCAGCTTAAGTCTCTTGTTGTTCTAAATCTCATGGAGAATAGACTCAGTGGTCCTCTTCCCACGTCAATTGGTAATTTGAGCAAATTACAATTTATACAACTACGCGATAACCAACTCTCAGGTTCCATTCCTCAAGTGATAGAAAATCTCATGAATTTGGTTGTGCTGAGACTTGCCAGAAACAACTTCACTGGTCATTTGCCACAGAACCTTTGTCGAGGTGCATTGCTTGCAAATTTCACTGCAAATGGCAATCGTCTCATAGGTCGAATCCCCGAAAGCTTGAGAAACTGCACAACCTTATACAGATTCCGCCTCGATGGAAACCAACTCACTGGAAATATATCTGAAGATTTTGGTGTTTATCCAAACTTGGATTACATAAATCTAAGCAACAATAGATTTTATGGTGAACTTTCACATAAATGGGGGAGGTCTCTGCAGCTAACAAACCTTGAGATTGCAGGGAACAATATTACTGGCTCCATACCACCTGAGATTGGAAACTTGACTCAACTGCATTTGCTTAATCTTTCTTCAAATCATTTAGTTGGGAAGATCCCAATGGAATTTGGAAGTCTGACTTCTTTGGTGAAGCTTATATTGAATAACAATCAGCTTTCTGGTGGTATACCTCAAGAACTTGGATCATTGACTGACCTTGAGTATCTTGACCTGTCCACTAACAAACTGAGCCAGTCAATTCCAAGTAGCCTAGGGAATTTTGTGAAAATGCACCACATGAATTTGAGCTGCAACAAGTTGAGCCATGGAACCCCAACTAAGTTGGGTAGGTTAGCACAGCTGTCTGTGCTAGATTTGAGTCATAATTCTCTTGCTGAAGAGATACCAACTGAATTTAGCAAGTTGGGTAGCTTGGTGACACTAAATCTCTCCCACAATAACCTCTCTGGTGTTATTCCAGAGAATTTTATGGAACTTCATGGCTTGGAGTTTGTCGACATATCATACAATCAATTAAGGGGTCCTATTCCACACAACAAAGCATTTCAAGAGGCTCCCATAGAAGCATTGCAAGGGAACAAAGCTTTGTGTGGCAATGTTACAGGTCTACACCCCTGCAATAATAGTCCTGTTGAAAAGAAGCATAACTCAAAAATTGGTTTCAAAGTTCTGTACTGCTTGATCATGCTTCCTGTGTTGGGAGCATTTATGCTTACTTTCTATGGAATTTTTATTACTTCGCGAAGAAAAAGGGAAAGCCAACAAGAAGAAAGTGACATTCACCCAAAAGAATTCGAATTGCGTGCAATATCAATCTTTGATGGAAAAGTATTGTATGAAGAAATTATAAGAGCGACTGAGGATTTTGATGCTGCATATTGCATTGGGAGGGGGGCAGTTGGAAGCGTATACAAAGCAAAGCTGCCCTCAGATGACTTGGTAGCTGTCAAGAAATTCCACATTCCATGTGATGGTGTGTGGAGAAAAGAATTCTTAAACGAGGTAAGGGCATTAACTGAGATACGCCATCGAAACATTGTCAAACTTTATGGTTTCTGTTCACATGCACGGCACTCGTTTTTGGTTTATGAGTACCTTGAAGGGGGTAGTTTGTTTTCAATCTTGTGCAATGATGAAGAAGCTAGGAAATTGGATTGGATTAAAAGGGTGAACATCATTAAAGGTGTGGCTCATGGTTTATCCTATATGCACCATGATGTGTCTCTGCCAATTGTTCATCGAGACATATCCAGCAAGAACATTTTGCTAGACACTGAATATGAGGCTCGCATTTCAGACTTCGGAACTGCTAAGATTCTAGATTATGAATCATCAAACTGGACTGCGGTTGTAGGCACAATTGGATACATAGCACCAGGTACAATTCAACATCTTGTGTTGTTTTCATCAGATGGTTTGGATTTACATTCTTGGCAACATAATATGTCACATACTGTCTGACTTGAGAGCATTTCCCCTGTATGCATTGTTCTCTTAACTTCTCATATGAGCATCTCTCTCCTAAAATATAAAACTTATGTTTACCCTTTTTGGCAGAGCTTGCTTACACATTGAAGGTGACAGAGAAATGTGACGTCTATAGTTTTGGGGTGTTAGCTCTTGAAGTGATTAAAGGAAAGTACCCTAGCAATCTAGTGGGGTCTGTGTTGTCATCTGCAATCTGGGGAGGCAAAATGTTGGGGGATGTGTTGGACGATCGCCTTGCGCATCCCACTGGTAAAATTCTGGATGAAGTTGTTACCATCCTAAAGCTAGCAGTTGCATGCTTACATGAAAATCCAGAGTTAAGGCCTACCATGCATGACATTTCTTGTAACAATACAAATCTCCCATACACAGAAAGACAAATAGAGGGTTAACTTGAGTTTAGTTGAAACATTTAAACAGAAGGATGTTAAAGCCATTTTTTGTATCTTAACCAGCTGCCACCAAATCATTGTAATTACTAATATTTAGGCTTTGTGAGTTCTTCATTTTGTTGTAATCATATATACAGGCTCTCCTTGAGAGATGGATAACAAGCAATAATTATTTTCGTACATGGTATGACATCAGATTTGAGCATTTTTCGTCACCAAATTGCCTATTGTTATTGTATTAGTTTCGTTTCATTTTCAATGATAAAATGTGCTGTTTGTATGCATACAACATCAAATTGACCGGAAGTGTTGACGATGGAGGAAGACACCTTTAAAGTTAGAAGTCTTAACTCTGAATCTCAAAGTCTACTGTGAATTTAATATGCAAACAGAGAGTAATAGAAAATGGCATTATCATTGTTACCAAAACAAAAACAATGAGATCTACAACTTATTATGACCAAGTATGCTCTGCTCTCTAGCCTGCACTCTTCTTGTTTTCAAGAAGACTGAAATGTTTGGCTACCCTTTTATACCATATTTTTGCAAGGGGGTTCTGGTTTTTAGCAAGTTCAAATCTTGCCTTTCCCAAGTACTTGCTTTTTTCAAAGAGATGAACAATATATGTGGTAGTATAATTGAAATTATCAACCTCCGAATTGCTTGTTAATCAAGCATGCCCTTATGTCAATACACTAATTTATTAGTAATTTGGTACATGCAGCATAGGGTATATTTAAAAGAACCACTAGCTATAATTGAACTTTCAAATTGATTTGAAGACTATGACTTCTTTATATATTTTTGCTTGGTTTGACATTGTACAGGTAGCCGGTAAGTCAGTATCTCCTCACATGTGAAATTATTTGTGTACATTCAAATTTGAAGATAAGAAACAAAGACTTTGACTAAAAGTGTCTGAAGAAAATTCCAAATGGGAAATAAAATAAATCATTAAGAGGAAGAGAGTTTTCAAGCCTGTGATGCCTCAAGTCTATAACGCATCAATGAACAAAAAGCCCTGAAATTGAGAAAAAACCATGAGATTTTTAACTTGCTATGATAAACTAAGCTCTCTAGCTTATTGTCTTATCTTGTTGTATGTTCAGCTTATTGCCTCTAGTTCTGATGAAGCAGAGGCTCTCCTCAAATGGAAAGCCACCTTCCAAAATCAAACCCAGCTGCAAAATCTAACCTCATGGACTTACCCTCCCAGTAATGTCAATTCCACCAACTCTTCTGGCAATCCGTGCAATATGTGGACTGGTATTTCATGCAACACAGCTGGAAGTGTCAACAGGATAAACCTTACCAATTCTGGTTTACAAGGTACATTACACGAATTCGCTTTCTCGTCTTTCCCTAATCTTGAATATCTTGACCTCAGCATCAATAAATTCTTGGGTTTCATCCCACCTCAAATCAGTTCCCTCTCCAAACTCATTCACCTTGATCTCTCTTCTAATCAGTTTTCTGGGAAAATCCCATCAGAAATCGGTCTCCTTACAAATCTTAAGTTCCTGAAACTACATGAAAATAAGTTAAATGGCTCAATTCCTCAAGAACTTGGCCAGCTTAACTTTCTTAATGAACTTGCCATGTCCACCAATAATCTAGAGGGCTTAGTTCCTGCTTCTCTGGGTAGTATGAGTTACCTGACTTCTCTGCATCTTTATGACAATCACCTTTCTGGTTCCATTCCTCCAGAACTTGGAAATCTTTCTAATTTGGTTGAACTCTACATGGACACCAACAATTTCACCGGTCCTATTCCTCGAACTTTTGGAAACTTAAAAAAGCTGACCATGTTGCATTTGTTCAACAATCAACTTTCTGGTTCTATCCCTTCAGAAATAGGAAATTTGAAGCCTCTAATAGAATTACTCTTATATAGAAACAATCTTTCTGGTTCAATCCCAACACATTTAGGTTATCTGGCAAACCTTACCCTTCTCTTTCTCGATGAAAATAAGCTTTCCGGTACAATTCCTAAAGAGATAGGGAACCTGAAATCTGTTCTGGAAGTACACTTGAGCAAAAACTACTTAACAGGTCCTATCCCTCCAATTTTGGTAACTTAAGAAAGCTAAAAGTGCTATACTTGTTCGACTGTCAACTTTCTGGTATCATACCTTCAGAAATAGGAAACTTGAAGTCTCTAGTAGAATTATTCCTTTACAGGAACAATCTTTCTGGTTCAATCCCGGCATGGATTGGTGATATGAGAAATCTTACACATGTCAATCTGTTTGGAAATAAACTTTCCGGGGCTATTCCTAAAGAGGTTGGGAACTTGAAATCTATGGTGGATCTAGACTTGAGCCAGAATCAACTCAACGGTTCAATTCCCACTTCATTTGGTGGTTTGAGAAACTTGGAAGTCTTATCCCTCCGTGACAACCAACTCTCTGGTTCAGTCCCCCAAGAGATAGAAAATCTAGTGAAGTTGACTCTGTTGTATTTAGATACTAACCAGTTTTCTGGTTATTTGCCCCAAAATATTTGCCAAGGTGGATCACTCACAGAATTTACAGCAAACAACAACCATTTTGTTGGTCCAATCCCCAAAAGCTTAAAAACCTGCACCACCTTATCCTTTGTCCGCCTTAGTTGGAACCAGTTGACAGGCAATATATCTGAAGACCTTGGTGTTTATCCGAATCTTCAATCTATGGATCTAAGCCATAATAACTTAAATGGTGAAATCTCACACAAATGGGGACAATGTGCACAATTAACAACCCTACTAATTGCAGGAAACAACCTTACCGGCAGTATACCACCTGAGATTGGCAATGCAACCCTAATTCATGAACTTGATATTTCTTCAAATAGTTTAGTTGGGATGATCCCAAAAGAATTTTGGAGACTGACTTCTTTGGTGAAGCTGATGTTGCAGGGGAATCAACTTTCAGGTCGTATACCTTCCGAATTCGGATCACTGATTGATCTCGAATATCTTGACCTATCCACAAACAAGTTCGATGGGTCAATACCTAGCACTATAAGTGACTTGTACAGATTACACTACCTGAATTTGAGCAACAACAAGTTTAGTCAAGGAATTCCTTTTCAGTTGGGAAAGCTAGTTCACTTGTCCCAACTAGATTTAAGTCATAACTTGCTTGAAGGTAAGATACCTTCAGAAATAAGCAACATGGAGAGTTTGGAGATGCTCAACCTTTCCCACAATAATCTTTCTGGCTTTATTCCAATGAGTTTTGAAGACATGATGGGTTGTCGTATGTTGACATATCCTACAATGACTTGGAGGGTCCCCTGCCCAACAGCAGTGCATTTCGGAATGCTCTTCCGGAAGCATTGCTGGGGAACAAGGACTGTGCGGCAACATTGGAGCTCTGAAATCCTGCAAACATAACTCCAAAAAGGACCGTAAAGTCATATTTTAATCTTGTTCCCTCTTCTCGGAGCACTTGTACTTCTACTTGCTCTCTTTATGTTTGCTTTTCTGATAGCAAGAAGAAAGAAAAATCAAACTCTGGAACAAAACGATGACATGCTTGAAGTAATTTCTTTTTCAATTCTAGATTTTGATGGAAAAACAATGTATGAGGAAATCATAAGGATGACAGAAGATTTTGATTCCATATATTGCATTGGGACGGGAGGACATGGAAGTGTATACAGAGCAACTTTGTCATCTGGCAACATGGTAGCCGTGAAGAAACTCCATCTTCTCCACAATGGCGAGAATAATTTTCAGAAGGAATTCTTCAATGAAATAAGAGCACTAACTGAGATACGACACCGGAACATTATGAAGCTTCATGGTTTCTGTTCACATAAACGACATTCATTTTTGGTGTATGAGTATCTCGAAAGGGGTAGCTTGGCCACAATGCTGAGCATGATCATGAAGCTAAAGAACTAGGGTGGAGTAAAAGGGTGAATATTGTTAAAGGTTTAGCTCATGCCTTGTCCTACATGCACCACGATTGCTTGCCACCAATTGTACATCGTGACATATCAAGCAAGAATGTTTTGCTGGATTCTGAATATGAGGCCTGTGTTTCAGATTTTGGCACCGCAAAGTTTTTAAATCCAGACTCAACTAATTGGAGTGCTCTTGCAGGCACGTATGGATATATAGCACCAGGTAATGTTGAAACATTTTTTCTCTTATTTGAACACTTATCACCGATTCTTTTTCATGCATGGTTAAACCCAATTTGTTAGAATCGAACAGCACATTTGAACTGTACCATCGTAATTAAAGTAAAAGTATTGAACCTGGTAGCAAATTAGCAATAGGTACTTTAATCATTTCATATCACAAATGTTTTGAACACCGAAGTTTTTGATATACTAATAATGCCACTGCTACGAGATTTTCTAAGCAGAGCTTGCTTATACAATGGAAGTGAATGAGAAATGCGACGTGTATAGCTTCGGAGTAGTAACGTTGGAACTGATTATGGGAAGGCATCCGGAGATCTGTTGTCATCTTTATCATCTGCGTCTTTGTTGTCATCTTCATCATCTGCATTACCTGCACATCAAATGCCAATGGAGGATATTTTGGACCAACGCATTCCCCCCCCTACACATCAAGAAGCAGGGGAAGTGGTCTCTCTAGTGCAGATAGCTTTTGCATGCTTGAATCCCAGTCCTCCATCTCGTCCAACAATGAAACAAGTTTCTCAACACCTCTCAACTCAGAGGCTGCATTTGTCCAAGTCAGTGCATATGATAACATGTGGTGAATTGCTTGCTCTCGACGGTTTTACAACCCGAGGGTAAGTTTCTACATGTTAAATGCTTTCAATTATCTCCGCCACCACTCGTCATGCTCATTCGCCTATCATGCCTTTATAATTTCTTTGACATTATTTGATTGATTAATTTGAATAAACACCATATTAACTCTGTGTTTGCCCTCTGACTGTTTCTTCTAACCTTCTTAGATGTTCCCTTGTAGCAATGTATTTGAAGCCTACTTTTGTGCCACTCATTATTTTGAAGGAAGGAAAAAAAGGTGTAACAACATAAGTTAATATTTATAATCACTTTGTCAGTTTCAATTTTATGTTTGAAGAGCAGTAATTATAGGAAAATCAGATATTTATCTGGCTTTATCCTCAGACAAAATACCAAATTGTCATATCCCAGAAGAGAAGAACGACCCCTCAAGGCTCAAAATTGACACCAACCAAATTAACAATGAACAAGACAATACAACAACGGTGTTCCTCTCAGAAAACTGAAAGTAGTGTTTCTCACGAGTGCAATTTCACAATAAAAGCAACGAACAGATTCACATTCTTATTCCTATATATGCAAAGTCAGCTTTCGCTTGGTATACTCTTGGAATTTTGATCATCTGTTGATCTTCAAAATCTTGAAAAATGCTAGGTTGTTACCAATTGCTTTCTTCTTCTTTTTTGGTTTGTTGTGAAAGTAGTTCTAAAAATTGCAAAGACTTTCCAGAATATTGTTGAAAGCATAAAAATTATGAATATTGTTTAAGTCATAACTTGCTTGAAGGTAAGATACCTTCAGAAATAAGCAACATGAGAGTTTGGAGATGCTCAACCTTTCCCACAATAATCTTTCTGGCTTTATTCCAACGAGTTTTGAAGACATGAATGGGTTGTCGTATGTTTACAATACTACGATGACTTTGAGGGTCCCCTGCCCAACAGCAGTGCATTTCGGAATGCTCTTCCAGAAGCATTGCAGGGGAACAAGTACTGTGCGGCAACATTGGAGCTCTACAATCCTTGAAGAAATTTCTTTTTCAATTCTAGATTTTGATGGGAAAACAATGTATGAGGAAATCATAAGGGCGACAGAAGATTTTGATTCCATATATTGCATTGGGACGGGAGGAAATGGAAGTGTTTACAGTTACAGAGCAAATTTTTCATTTGCAACATGGTAGCCATGAAGAAACTCCATCTTCTCCACAATGGCGAGAATAATTTCAGAAGGAATTCTCCAATGAAATAAGAGCACTAACTGAGATACGACACCGGAACATAATGAAGCTTTATGGGTTTCTATTCACATCACCGACACTTGTTTTTGGTGTATGAGTTTCTCGAAAGAGGTAGCTTGGCCACAACGCTGAGCAATGATCATGAAGCTAAAGACTGGGGTGGAGTAAAGGGGTGAATATTGTTAAAGGTTTAGCTAATGCCTTGTCCTACATGCACCACGATTGCTTGCCACCGATTGTACATCGTGACATATCAAGCAAGAATGTTTTGCTGGATTCTGAATATGAGGCCTGTGTTTCAGATTTTGGTACTACAAATTTTTAAATCCGGACTCAACTAATTAGACTGCTGCTGCAGGCACTTATGGCTACATGGCACCAGGTAATGTTTTGATCACTGAAATCTCTGTCTTTTGTACTTGGTGTGTACGATTTATGCATGATACAATTTCTTGTGTGAGCTGTGTCTGAACAGAGCTTGCATATACAATGAAGTGACCGAGAAGTGCGATGTTTTATAGTTTTGGAGTTGTCACACTGGAAATAATTATGGGAAGATATCCAGGAGATGTTTTCTCATCTTTACATTTGGTGCATCATCGTCATCCTCATCTGCATCACCCGCCCCGAAATGCCAATTTGGACATTCTGGACCAACGCACTAGCCACCCACAAAACAAGAAGCAGAGGAGGTGGTGTCTCTTGTGAAGATAGCATTTGCATCCTTGAATCCCAGTCTGCAGTGTCGACCAACGATGAAGAATTTTCTCAGCTCCTCTCATAAACTCAAGGCTGCATTTGTCAAAGCCATTGCATATGACAACATTTGGTGAATTGCTTGCTCTTGATGGTTTCGCTACCTGATTAGGAAATGTGCTGCTTTCTCCGTATTTCACTTCATTTGTGTCTGCCTTGTTCTAATAGTGTCATCATGCATTTTGGTATCAGAGAATTCATAGGATTAGGTCCCAACATCACACTTGAGCAACAGATCTATGCTCTGAATGGTACTAAACCATTCAGGGAATTAGATTTGAACTCCTATTGAAGTTGTTTACTAAACCATATGGAATTGGGGTAGGAGTGATTCTAATTACTAAAATTCTCATGTTGGGTTAAAGTAAATGACAAATTTAAATTTTAAAATTGTGTGAGGATATAATGGGTAAAAAGATAAATTTCTAATAGGTTTGTTCTCTAGGAATTAGAATATCACTTCCCACCTAAGAATTGAATTCCTAAAAAATCAGGAATTCAATTCCTAATTTTGTGTGGGCCCCACCTACTTTTAAATCGTGATATGAAGGAAACACAGGAATCCTATATAGTTAGAGTTAATTCCTTAAAGAGAATTCCAATTCTGATTAGTAAACATACCATGAAAGTTTTTTTAGAATGTAGATATTTGTAAATCACATAAATATCCAACCCACTTTCTGTAAAACTAAGATATATTTAGTCATTACCCATTTTTAGCACTAAATTATAAATAAACCTTACACACATTTTAATTTCTATAAATAAATCCAAAAAAATGACACAACCCTATTGAATTTAATTTTGATTATTAAATTACTTTGATACCCCATTGAATGTTAGGTTTTTTAGGTTTTAGACATAAAAAAAATTTCACTTGTTGGAAAAAGCCAAAGCTTTTTCAAAAAAGACAAAAAACCACTCAACTTTCAAATCAAAGACATGCAAATGTGTATTGGATTCCTTAGGAAATCTAAAAATAAATAAGGGCATTTTTGTCCATTTTTCTTCTTTTAAAATTTTTTTCTCTCCTTTTGCTTTTTCCAAAATGTCCCTTGATGTTTTTGGGTTTTTTTTTATGAGGTTTTGAGGTTTTATTTGTTTTAAGAAATCAATGACCTTTTGTATTTAAAAGAGAATTAAAAAGCCTTTTTATTAATGTTGTTAAATGGGCTTTGCTTATATTTCTAAAGTCCATGTATATATTTTTTTTTTTTTTTTTTTTTTTTTTTTTTTTTTTTTTTTTTTTTTTTTTTTTTTTTTTTTTTTTTTTTTTTTTTTTTTTTTTTTTTTTTTTTTTTTTTTTTTTTTTTTTTTTTTTTTTTTTTTTTTTTTTTTTTTTTTTTTTTTTTTTTTTTTTTTTTTTTTTTTTTTTTTTTTTTTTTTTTTTTTTTTTTTTTTTTTTTTTTTTTTTTTTTTTTTTTTTTTTTTTTTTTTTTTTTTTTTTTTTTTTTTTTTTTTTTTTTTTTTTTTTTTTTTTTTTTTTTTTTTTTTTTTTTTTTTTTTTTTTTTTTTTTTTTTTTTTTTTTTTTTTTTTTTTTTTTTTTTTTTTTTTTTTTTTTTTTTTTTTTTTTTTTTTTTTTTTTTTTTTTTGGCGCGGCCCAACAGCGTTCATTTCTCGGAATGCTCGTCGCAGCCATGCATGTGAACCAGTACTCGTGGCGGCAACATTTGAGCTCTACAAATCCTTGAAGATTTCTTTTCAATTCTAGATTTTGCTGGGAAACAATGTATGATGAAATCATAAGGGCGACAGAGATTTTGATTCCCATATATGATTGGGACGGGAGGAAATGGAAGTGTTTTACAGTTACAGAGCAAATTTTCATTTGCAACATGGTAGCCATGAAGAAACTCCATCTTCTCCACATGGCGAGAATAATTTTCAGAAGGAATTCTCCAATGAAATACGCACTAACTGAGATACGACACCGAACATAATGAAGCTTTATGGTTTCTATTCACATCACCGCACTTGTTTTTGGTGTATGAGTTTCTCGAAAAGAGTACTTGGCCACAACGCTGAGCAATGATCATGAAGCTAAAGAACTGGGGTGGAGTAAAGGGGTGAATATTGTTAAAGGTTTAGCTAATGCCTTGTCCTACATGCACCACGATTGCTTGCCACCGATTGTACATCGTGACTATCAAGCAAGAATGTTTTGCTGGATTCTGATATGAGGCCTGTGTTTCAGATTTTGGTACTACCAATTTTTAAATCCGGACTAACTAATTAGACTGCTGCTGCAGGCACTTATGGCTACCTGGCACCAGGTAATGTTTTGATCACTGAAATCTCTGTCTTTTGTACTTGGTGTGTACGATTTATGCATGATACATTTCTTGTGTGAGCTGTGTCTGAACAGAGCTTGCATATACAATGAAAGTGACCGAGAAGTGCGATGTTTATAGTTTTGGAGTTGTCACACTGGAAATAATTATGGGAAGATATCCAGGAGATGTTTCTCATCTTTATCATTTGGTGCATCATCGTCATCCTCATCTGCATCACCCGCCCCGGAAATGCCAATTTGGACATTCTGGACCAACGCATCTAGCCACCCACAAACAAGAAGCAGAGGAGGTGGTGTCTCTTGTGAAGATAGCATTTGCATCCTTGAATCCCGTCTGCAGTGTCGACCAACGATGAAGAAATTTTCTCAGCTCCTCTCATAAACTCAGAGGCTGCATTTGTCAAAGCCATTGCATATGACAACATTTGGTGAATTGCTTGCTCTTGATGGTTTCGCTACCTGATTAGGAAATGTGCTGCTTTCTCCGTATTTCACTTCATTTGTGTCTGCCTTGTTCTAATAGTGTCATCATGCATTTTTGGTATCAGAGATTCATAGGATTAGGTCCCAACATCACACTTGAGCAACAGATCTATGCTCTGAATGGTACTAAACCATTCAGGGAGTTAGATTTGAACTCCTATTGAAGTTGTTTACTAAACCATATGGAATTGGGGTAGGAGTGATTCTAATTACTAAAATGTCCTCATGTTGGGTTAAAGTAATGACAAATTTTAAATTTTAAAATTGTGTGAGGATATAATGGGTAAAAAGATAAATTTCTAATAGGTTTGTTCTCTAGGAATTAGAATATCACTTCCCACCTAAGAATTGAATTCCTAAAAAATCAGGGATTCAATTCCTAATTTTGTGTGGCCCCACCTACTTTTAAATCGTTGATATGAAGTAAACACAGGAATCCTCTATAGTTAGAGTTTAATTCCTTAAGAGAATTCCAATTCCTGATTAGTAAACATACCATGAAAGTTTTTTTAGAATGTAGATATTTGTAAAATCACATAAATATCCAACCCACTTTCTGTAAAACTAAGATATATTTAGTCATATACCCATTTTTAGCACTAAAATTATAAATAAACTTACAACCATTTAATTTCTATAAATAAATCCAAAAAATGACAACAGACCCTATTGAATTAATTTTGATTATTAAATTACTTTGATACCCCATTGAATGTTAGGTTTTTTAGGTTTTAGACATAAAAAAATTTTCACTTTTGGAAAAAGCCAAAGCTTTTTCAAAAAAGACAAAAAAACCACTCAACTTTCAAATCAAAGACATGCAAAGTATTGGATTCCTTAGGAAATCTAAAAATAATAAGGGCATTTTTGTCCATTTTTACTTCTTTTAAAATTTTTTTCTCTCCTTTTGCTTTTTCCAAAATGTCCCTTGAATGTTTTGGGTTTTTTTTTATGAGGTTTTGAGGTTGTATTGTTTTAAGAAATCAATGACACTTTTGTAATTTAAAAGAAATTAAAAGCCTTTTTATTATGTTGTAAATGGGCTTTGCTTATATTTCTAAAGTCCATTTCATATATAGATTTTTTATAATTTGGACTCCTATATTGAGTATTATAATGAATTTCCCTAAAACTAATTATTTTGTTTTGAAATATATGTCCAACGACCCAGGTGAAGTGACAGCCACTCCCAGGTCTCTTTGGCCTTCTATCAAGCGCATACGACGATCCACCAATAACATCCAATCAAGCTCTCACTTTTATCAATTTCATTCCATTCAATTCCTACACAAAATGCAAAATTTCCAAAGAGACGAAGACTCTGGACTGCAATCTTTCAATTAAGAAAATGAAAAAACCCCAAAAGTCTTCCCAAACCGTCTTCCAATTAAGAAAATGAAGACAAAGACTTTGAGTCAAGTCAAGAGTATGGAAGACTCCGAGCTTTGTATAATGGAGAAAAGAAAAGTTACCAACGGGGAAAAGCTACCGTACATATACAAATAGGAAGGAAAATACTTGTCTCTTTTCTTGGAAGTAGGAGCGAAACTTCTACTTTCTAGTTTGACATGTGATTTGCATACCTTTTTACGGGAAATGATAGAAGCAGTGTCCATATAGGAATATTATTGGTTTTTATTTTAATTTTCTTTAATATGAAAAGTTGTTAATTTACTATATTCTCCTTATTTAATAAAAAATACTTTTGATATTTTGAATGATTCAGTGTATTTGTGAGCATGAATTATTTGGTCACAAGAATTACTGACCTTTTTTCTTCTTGTAGTGACCCACTGAACATGCCCCAAGAAAATAAAATATAAAAAAAAAGTGTCCAGCATATAGTGCATTTCCATCCATTTCATTACTTCGGTCCAGAAAATTAAAAAATTACATTTAAAGAGACAAAGACTTTGACTCGTGTATGGAAGGCTCCATCCATTTCATTATTTGTACAAGTCTTTGTCCACAGAATAAGACAGCCACATGAGGTGAAAGAGGTACATTGGTAAAAAGAGAATCTGAACCCCTAGGTGATGACTTTAGGGGTTAATTTTCATTTCATTTCATTAGTTCATCCAGAAAATGTAAAATTGGCATTTAACTTCAGAGAATGAGAGACAAAGACTTTGACTCAAAAGAAAAGTGATGATACAAGAGATCCGAAAGACCTATAAGAAAGGCACTGCCCATACGAATAGCACACAAACAACAACCATGAGATCTTAACTTCTGTTAAAGTATGCTTCCTGGCTTATTGCCTTACCTTGTTGTATGTTTCATCACCAAATTGGGTTGCTTTGCTTCTAATACTGAAGCAAATGCTCTTCTCAAATGGAAAGCTAGCTTATTTCAAAACAAGGCCCTCAATATTCTCAACTGGCGGTACCCTCCCAATCATAATGCCACCAATTCTTCCACCAATCCAAAAGAAAATACAGTCACATGCACTTGGGACCGGTGTTTCATGCAACACAGCTGGAAGTGTTAACAAGATAAACCTCTCCACTTGTGGTATACAAGGTACGCTACTTGAGTTTTCATTCTTGTCCTTCCCTAATCTTGAACATCTTGACCTCAACAGGAACAAACTCTTTGATGCCATCCCACCTCAAATCAGTTACCTCTCCAAACTCCATTATCTTGATCTCTCTCACAATCAATTGTCCGGGAGAATCCCACCAGAAATCGGTCTCCTAAGAAATCTTACATTTCTCGGTCTCTATGAAAATACATTCTTTGGGGATATTCCCAAGGAAATAGGTAACCTCAAATCCCTTGTGGAGCTGTATTTGTATAAGAATAAACTCAATGGTTCAATTCCACGATCACTAGGCAATCTAACAAGCCTTACCCATCTTTATCTCTATACCAATCAACTTTCTGGTTCTATTCCTAAGGAGATAGGTAACATGGAGTCTCTTGTAGATCTAGAGTTGTCCCCAATACTTTAAGTGGTGTCATCCCTCCAAATATTGGTCACTTAAAAAAGTTAAACACTTTGTACTTGTATACCAATCAACTCTCTGGTTCTATTCCCAAAGAGATAGGGAACTTGAAATCTCTTGTGGATCTACAATTGTATGAGAATCAGCTCAATGGTTCAATTCCAAGATCACTATGCAATCTCACAAGCCTTACCAATCTTTATCTCTATGCTACTCAACTTTCTGGCACTGTTCCCAATGAGATAGGTACATGAAGAGTCTTGTGATTCTAGACTTGAGTGGGAATCAACTCAATGGTTCAATTCCAAAATCACTAGGTCATCTAACTAGCCTTACCCTTCTTTATCTCTTTGGCAATAAACTTTTTGGCATTATTCCCAATGAGATATGTAACCTGAAGTCTCTCGTAGATCTACAATTGGCCTTCAACACTTTAACTGGTTTCATCCCTCCAAATATTGGTAACTTAAAAAAGTTAAACACCCTGTACCTGAATACCAATAAACTCTCTGGTTCTATTCCCAAAGAGATAGGTAACATGAAATCTCTTGTGGGGCTATATTTGTATGGGAATAAACTCACGGTTCAATTCCAAGATCACTAGGTGATCTAACAAGCCTTACCCATCTTTATCTCTATGCCAATCAACTTTCTGGTTCTATTCCTAAGGAGATAGGTCACATGAAGTCTCTTGTAGATTTAGAGTTGTCCTCCAACACTTTAAGTGGTCTAATCCCTCCAAATATTGGTGACTTGAAAAAGTTAAACACTTTGTACTTGCATATCAATCAACTTTCAGGTTTAATTCCCAAGGAAATAGGAAATTTGAAATCTCTGGTGGATCTACAGTTGCATGAGAATCAACTCCGTGGTTCAATTCCTATTTCATTTGGTAACCTCAGCAACTTGGAAATCTTATACTTACGGGATAACCAACTTTCCGGCTCCATCCCCAAAGAGATAGAGAGTCTCAAGAAGTTGATTGGCCTGCAATTGGATAGCAACCAATTTTCGGGTTATTTGCCCCAAAATATTTGCCAAGGTGGAAAACTCACAAACTTTACAGCAAGCACCAATCATTTAACTGGCCCAATCCCCAAAAGCTTGAAAAATTGTACGAGCTTAGTCAGAGTCCGTCTTAACCAGAACCAATTGACAGGCAATATATCTGAAGACTTTGGTGTTTATCCAAATCTTGATTTTATAGATGTAAGTCACAATAACTTGTACGGTGAAATCTCTTACAAGTGGGGGCAGTGCCCACAATTAAAAACTCTACGACTTGCGGGAAACAACCTTACTGGGAACATACCACCTGAGATTGGAATGGAACCCAAATTAATGGGCTGGATCTTTCTTTAAATAATTTATTGGGATGATTCCAAAGGAATTCGGGAGACTGACTCCTTTGGTGAAGCTGATGTTGAATGGAAATCAGCTTTCGGGCCGTATTCCCTTGGAATTGGGATCATTGATTGATCTTGAATATCTTGACTTGTCAACAAACAAATTCAATGAGTCAATTCCGAGCACTCTAGGTGACTTGTTCAGACTACACTACTTGAATTTGAGCAACAATAAGATGGCTCAAGCAGTTCCAATAAAGTTGGGAAAATTATTTCAATTGACCGACCTGGATTTAAGTCATAACTCACTTGAGGGTAGGATACCATCAGAAATGAGCAACATGGAGAGTTTGGTGTCCCTCAATCTTTCCCACAACAATCTTTCGGGTTTCATACCAACGAGTTTCGAAGACATGTACGGCTTGTCGTATGTTGACATATCCTACAATCACTTGGAAGGTCCCCTACCGAACAACAGTGCATTTCGAAAAGCTCTGCCAGAAGCATTAAAAGGGAACAAAGGATTGTGTGGCAAAGTTGGAGCTCTGCCACCCTGCAATGAACATGGGACAAAAAAGAACCAAAAACGGGTATTTGGAATCACATTCTCCCTTCTAGCAGTATTCGTACTTCTATCTGCTTTCTTTACAATTGTCTTTGTAGTGCAAAGGAAGAAGAAGCATCAAGATAAAGAGCAAAACAATATGCATCCAGAAATTTCCTTTTCAGTTTTAAATTTTGATGGAAAATCAATGTATGATGAAATCATAAGGGCAACATCAGATTTTGATTCCACATAATTGCATTGGGAAGGGAGGACATGGAAGCGTCTATAGAGTGAATTTGTCATCTGGAGACATAGTGGCTGTGAAGAAACTCCATCCGCTATGGGATGGCGAGACAGAATTTCAGAAGGAGTTCTTGAATGAAGTAAGGGCACTCAGTGAGATAAGACATCGGAATATTGTGAAGCTCTATGGTTTCTGCGCACATAAACGACACTCGTTTTTGGTGTATGAGTATCTTGAAAGAGGTAGCTTGGCCGCAATGTTGAGCAAAGATGAAGAAGCAAAAGAGTTGGGGTGGGAGTAAAAGGGTGAATATTGTTAAAGGCTTAGCTCATGCCTTGTCTTACATGCACCACGATTGCTTGCCACCGATTGTACATCGTGACATCTCAAGCAAGAACATTTTGTTGGATTCTGAATATGAGGCATGTGTTTCAGACTTTGGCACTGCTAAGTTTTAAATCCAGACTCAACTAATTGGACTGCCGCTGCAGGCACATATGGCTACATGGCACCAGGTAATTAATGTTGTTATTCTCTGTTCTATGTATTTAACACTTTAAGCTTTTGTTTTTAGACCAATGCTTCAGTTTTCTCACTTGTTTTATTTAAAAAATATATATAACAATTAGATATTTTTGTGGTGAATGGTGATCATCAAAACTTTTTTTAATTAATCGTTGCTTTTCTTTTTCATCATCCAGCTTTACTAAATTCCTTTGGGTATGCCATTCTTGTTAGTTTTAAAAAGAACTGAATTTCCTCGAATTAGATTGGAAAATATCACTTCCCTTCTGTCCTTTTTCTCATAGGCAATGTTTTGAACACTGAAATCTCAGTGTTTTGTACGATTATTCATAATACAATTTCTTTTATGAGCTTCTTATTAGCAGAGCTTGCATATACAATGGAAGTGAACGAGAAGTGCGATGTTTATAGCTTTGGAGTTGTCACACTGGAAATAATTATGGGATGCCATCCAGGAGATGTTGTCTCATCTTTATCATCTGGGGCGTCATCGTCGTCCTCACCTGCATCACCTTTTTATGATGAAATGCCAATTTCGGATGTTCTGGACCAACGCATCTCCCTGCCTACAAATCAAGAAGCAAAGGAGGTGGTCTCTATTGTGAAGATGGCATTTGCATCATTGAATCCCAGTCCGCAGTCTCGTCCGACAATGAAGAAAGTTTCTCAGCTACTCTCATCAACTCAGAGGCTGCATTTGTCAAAACCATTACATATGACAACATGTGGTGAATTGTTTGCTCTTGATGGATTCACTACCTGATCAGGACTGCTTTTCTGTATTTGACTTCATTTGTGTCTGCCTTGTTCTTATTCTTCTTAGATGTTTGGCTTATTTGTATTCTGCTTCATTCTGTCTTTAGGCTCAGCTTTAATAATGGTTACTGGTACATAGAAATGTTTTTCCTTTTATGTATGTAGTATGTATGTCTCATGTTACCACCTAAAGTATTATGAATATGTTATTGCAATCTTGCAATTAGCCCAACTCTGTCAAACATTTCGTTAAAAATTCCGTCATGGTGCTATGTTCTGATGTAAAAGAATAGCGAACGCACACCCAAACTGCAACAAAATCATAACTTAGAGGGCAATTAATGTGATGAATCAATATTTTTTTTGGAGGGACACATTGACACGCGACACAAAATTCAAGTGATATGAGTGTAATTCCCTTTTTTATACTTTCAACTTCATCCAAGTTTAGTTTCAAAAGAAAAACTTGGTTGAAGTTTGGATGGTTAGTTCAATATATAAAATGACGTTTTTCCTTGATAGTCCAAAATCAAAATAACATAGAAAATTAAGTTTTGGATCTGCTATAGCTTTTGGTGGAAGAAAGCTCGTGATCTGTATGTACACCGGGACATATCAAGCAAGAACATTTTGCTGGATTCTGAATTTGAGGCATGTGCTTTGGACTTTGGCACTGCTAAGTTTTTCTATATTTCAGTTTATGTCTGCGTTCTTCCACTTGTTAAATCTGTTGCGTTATTGTAATTAAATTTGTAATCTATCTTATGCCCAGGCTCATACTTTAACAAAGGTGCTTCGGACTTAGAAATGTTTTTCCTTGTGGGAAGGGAAAAAAATGAACCAAATATTTCTATGTTTTTCCATTGGCCTACTTGGCAAAAGAATAAACAAATAAATCTATGTCAAGACTTAAGAAAGAATCTTCCTCATATTCATATGAAGGGAGCCTTATGTCACGCAAATAGTAACCTTTCACTTTCCATTAATTTCAATTCAGTAATTCCAATATTTTTTCTCCCAAAAACATCACAGTCGAGGTACCCTTGATCAGGGGAAAGTCTATGAGAAAGCTGTACATACTAAAAAACAAACAGAATCGAATTCATAGGATTAGGTCCCAACATCACACTTGAGCAACAGATCTATGCTCTGAATGGTACTTTGATTACCGTATCTGAACATGATACAAAATAAGATGATCCTGTTTAATAAAATATATTGTAGTGATGAACCTTCAACTCTTCTTTTTTCTTTTCGGTTTGATTTCCTTATTTTGTTTGTTGTGAAACTAGTTCTGAAAAAATCATTTAAACCCTCTAGTCCGACCCTCACAACCAACTGACTCTTGCAGTCAGTGCGGACCCAGTCCGAGTCTCAAAATTCACTAAAAATTCATCCTAAACTCCAAAAAATTCAGCAAAAAATGCTACGGACTCTTTGTGTTGTAACATGCATTTTCTTGTTATAACCTCAAATTCACAATTTGACCCAATAAAATTTTATTTCCAAGTTTCTCATAAAACCAAAAATTGAAAACGATTATCAAACAACTTATAAACAATTTTCAATTAATCTTTTATTTGAAAATTGAAAACAATTACCAAACGAGCTTCATATTTTTCATTTTTTTTATAAATAAAAATTAAAAAGCTAAAATAGTTATCAAATTGGCCCTTAGAATGTCACAAATGTTAAAATCAAAATTTTGAATAAGAAATTGGAGTAAAATGTATACAACTATCATTACTTTGAAACTTCAATTCTTCACGTTCATGATGAATATAGATCGTAATAGAAAGAAAGAAAAGGGGATGGTAATCAGTGGCGTCGATGAAAATTACATTGACGAGTTATTCTTCTTCCGATTTGTTGGGTACAGCTAGAATGAATTAATTTTTCCACTAAAACAAAACAAGAAGCATGCTTTGCTTGACAGGACTACCAATTGCTGTCTTGCAAGCGCACTTCCAGTTAAACATGCTCTGAGAAAATGCTTAGATAAGGGACAAAGACTTCCACTCAGGCTAATCACTTCTGGAATGCTCATGAAATCAGGTCATATAAGCCACAAGTTAGCTCATAATAAATTCATCCGGGACTAAATTCCTGGATAAAAATGCAGATAACGACACAAATAGTGGGTGAAAGTCAAAGCGCTTGAATCAAAGTTTAGAATGTCACAAATGTTATCAAAATTTGGAAATATTTTTATTTACCACTTTAACTCAAGGTATATTCTAACAACTATTCTCAACACTTGACACGTATCCATGAGCATAACCATAGTTAACCTTTTGATTTGTATTTGTGGAACCATGATTATACCCATATACACATGTCAAATGTTGAGAAGTGTACTGATGATACACCTTAATTTAAAGTGGTGAGCAAAAATGCACCCATCAAAATTTAGGAAATGTGACTAAAATGTATACACCTATCATTACTTTGAAAATTATTCTTCACGTGATGATTTAGGTCAGAAAGAAAGAAGAAAAAAAAAGGATGGAAATGATTGGCGTGGATGAAATTACATTGACGAGTTATATAAATTGGCGTATTTCCTTTTGTTTTTTTTCCCTTGATGGTCCAAACTCAAAATTACATAGAAAAATGAAATTTGGATTTGCAATAGGTTCTGCTTTTTTCGTGGAAGGCTCATGATTTGCTTTTGACTTGGAGATAAGCAGCCAAAGAAATGGAATAGGAAATTGGACTAAAATGTATACCGCGGGACATATCAAGCATGAACATTTTCCTGGATTCTGAATATGAGGCCTATGTTTCAGACTTTTGGACTGCTAACTATTTGGCCTATGTTGGGTACAGCCGAAGAACACTGGAGGAACATTGTCCTGGCTCATGCTTTAACAAGGGTGCTTTGTTATTTAGAAATGTTTTTCCTTGTGAGAGGGAAATAACAAATGAAACAATAATTTCATTGGCCAATGCCATGGTTTAACGTTTTGCATGTGTAATGTGTTTTCGGTTCTAGCCACAGTAGAGGAAGGAAGTCAGTGGGAGTTTTCTTTGGCTTTGTGAGAGAGATGTGCAAGTTTGTGAGTTTGGGTTCTTCCCCCATAACTTTTCACTGATCTGTTTTTTATGTTTTTCCAAAGACTCTTCACTGTTCTTTACTCATTACTCCTTGATGGCATGTTTATTAATCCGTAATTAGATTAGGAGGAATTGAATTGAGAATGAGCTGGATTGAGGAGAATTAGATTCCAAATTCCTATTCAAGTTGTTTACTAAACCATATAGATTGAGGGAAGTTAGATTTTGAATTCCTATTGAAGTTGTTTACTAAACCATATGGAATTAGAGTAGGAGTGATTCTAATTACTAAAATGTCCTCATTGTTGGGTTAAAGTAAATGACAAATTTTAAAAATTTAAAATTGTGTGAGGATATAATGGGTAAAAAGATAAATTTCTAATAGGTTTGTTCTCTAGGAATTAGAATATCACTTTCCACCTAAGAATTGAATTCTTCCAAAATCAGGAATTCAATTGCTAATTTTGTGTGGGCTCCACCTACTTTTAATTCGTTGATATGAAGTAAACACAGGAATCCTCTATAGTTAGAGTTCAATTCCTTATGAGAATTCCAATTCCTGATTAGTAAACACACCATGAAAGTGTTTTTTTTAGAATGTAGATATTTGTAAAATCGCATAAATATCCAACCCACTTTCTGTAAAACTAAGAGATATTTAGTCATATACTCATTCTTAGCACTAAAACTATAAATAAACCTTACACCATTTAATTTCTATAAACAAACCCAAAAAATGACAACATACCCTATTGAATTTAATTTTGATTATTAAATTACTTTGATGCCCCATTGAATGTTTTAGGCTTTTTTTTTATGAGGTTTTGAGGTTGTGTTTGTTTTAAGAAATCAATGACACTTTTGTAATTTAAAAGAATTAAAAGCCTTTTTATTATGTTGTAAATGGGCTTTGCTTGTATTTCTAAAGTTCATTTCATATATGACTTTTTTATAATTTGGGCTCCTATATTGAGTATTATAGTGAATTTCCCTAAAACTAATTCTTTTGTTTTGAAATATATGTCCAACGACCCAGGTGAAGTGACAGCCACTCCCAGGTTTCTTTGGCCTTCTATCAAGCGCATACGACGATCCACCAATAACATCCAATCAAGCTCTCACTTTTATCAATTTCATTCCTTTCAGTTCCAACACAAAATGCAAAATTTCCAAAGAG